CCAACCAATAAGATGTCAACTAGAAAAAACAAATCTAAGGCAGCTGCTCCAAAGAGGAAGAATCAATCTGATGAAGATGAATCAAGTACTGATACAGATAATGATTCTGAACCAAGCAAGAAAAAACAATTTAAACCATCTTCCAGTAAACAACTAGTGAAGACAGTGAAGAAGACCATGTCAGTTCATGATTCAGATAGTGATGAATCCACCACTGAAGATTCAGAAAATGGTACTGGTGACTCCACAGAATCTGTCTATTTTCAAGTTCGTCACGTTAATGGAAAACGGGAATATGTGATTGTTCCAGAGCATGTCGATTACATCTTTGATTTGATAGATAAGGACAAAGCTTTTCCAGAGTTCATCAATGCCATTATCCAATGTGAAAAGGTATTAACTGACCTCACAAAAAGGTTTGCTCATCTATTTTCAGGGCTTGCATTCAACACTACCGTAAATGGTATAACTTATTCAATTCCTCCAGACATTATCAAAATGCTTATTGGTAATGTGACTCAAAAACAGTGCTTGGAATTGTTAGCACATCATCACTTCAAGAAACCTATAGGAGAACTCACAACTGATCAAAGAACAGTATGTAGAAAGTTCTTTGAAGCAAGGGGATGGGATAAAGAAAGTGTTCGGAAGGCAATCAATAGTTTGATCAAAGAATAATTTCCAGACATGATGTTAAGCTTGATAGTCAAGCTTGTGAAATTTGTATTTTTTTTTTTAAAATTTTCAAAAAAATTCACAAGTCTGAAATACGTCACCTCCTCCTTCACTGATTTTCATCATCAAAACAACACAAAACAAACAACAACAAATAAACAACACATTACAACATCAAGTAGAACACAACAGAATATCGATAATTAACTTTGGAGTAACTTTATGCAAAATCGTCAGCGATGACGTCAAAAAAAGCGTCAATCCACCATCAGGAATGACGAAATAAAATGAGCGGGTTAATTGGTGAAAAATTAAAGAGCAGAAAAAAATTTAAACGTTTATTAATCGTATGAACCCGACGGGTTCGTCTTGATGATATTACGAATATTAAATAATAAATTCTTTCTTGTTGGGATTGCTTTGTTCATTTCTTGTAACTCTGTGGACACAAATACTTGGCTTGAACACCCTATGCTGGAACCCCGGGTAGTATAGGGTACGGTGACTTAACCCGACGTAAGTATTGCGGCAACACACTGTGGTCTCAGGGTCAACAGTGTAGTTACTGGGTGGTACGACATTTTTTTTGAGACGAAAGAGCAGAAAAAAATGGGTAAATTCGAAACTCTGAAAACTGAAAGCATTCACTCACTGCAAAGCAAGGGACTATTTAGATTCGTCATCATCGTGATGATGAGTTTAATTATGTTTTGTTCGAATATTGTTATCGGAAAACAATATATTATTCGAAACGTGCCATACTTTTCACAACAAACAGAATATTCGTGTGGAGCTACCAGTTTACAGATGGCACTTTCGTATTTTGATGGAAATTTTCATAGACAAATGAAAGAAGAGTCATTGTTAAAGGAAACAGTTTCGTTTCGAATAATTTCTCAAGAATCAATTGTAGATGTTGCTAGAACTTCCAATCATACAGGAACATGTTCATTAGACGTCATTAGAAGTGCCAGATTCTCCACCATTAGTTCAACACCAATTTCTCAATATTATTTACAATATCCGAAACAAGCTCCGATGAACGGATGGTTTGGAATTGAGAATTCCCATAATTTATTGAACAAATCTTTGGATTCAATTTACTATTTTGGAGGATTAATGACCATATACTATCCAGAAAGAGGTTCTTATTTGAAATCTGAAAAATGTTCTGAAAAGAAGGGAGGAGAAGGAAATGTCAAATGTTGGGTAAAAGAAATGATTGAATCCTTTTTGAAATTTGACATTCCTGTCATTTGTTTAATGTTTTATGATTTGAATGATAGTGAAGGACATTACCGATTGGCAGTTGGTTACGAAACTAAACTAGACGAAAGTGGAAATGAAATTCCAACACATATTATTATGTGGGATCCTTACAATCGAGAAGGAAATCCTCCAATTTCTAATTTTACAATTTCAGAATTTTGTAATTTGTGGAATTATACAGAATTGAGATTTGAGAATACTTGTTATAGACCTTATTTTGGAGCTGTCATGTATCCATTGGATATTAAGGCAATGGTTAGTAGAGAGGGACATTTGATGGTTGAGTATGGACATCCGAAACACTTGGTTTCGTCTGATTTTGTTTCGAAACATGTGGAAAAGACACTAGTGATAGACAATGTGGTGGCCAAGATTCGTATTTATCAAACGATTCCTAATCAAGAAGATATTTTGAAAGAAGTGGAAAGTGTTGATTTGCAAATGAATCCTTCCAGATTGAATTTTGGACAAAATCTTTCATTTTCTTGGAAATTACCATCAAATCTCTTATTGGAAAAGAATATTCGAATCAAAATTGGAATTTATGGATTAGTTTGTGATAAAACCTTAACTTGGCTCTATGAACCAAACACGGACAAGTTTAGTCAATCGTACAAATATTGCGATCAAGTTGGAGGAACAATTTTCATTAAAACAGATTAATCTTATTGGAAATATAATCTAAATTATTCTAAATTATTATGAAATTATTCTAAAATGATTAGAAACTATTTATATTGAAGCCATTTTTCGTAGATTGTTCTTTACAGTAGTGGCTTAATTATTATAGAAATTTGATCAATGAGATTACAAAAAAATTTGATGAATATTTATAGTAATTAAAACACATTATATTCGCTGTCATGATTTTCATTTTTTGTAAACTTGACAAAGAACCATTACATTCGTCTAATCTCATATAATTGTGATTTTGCCTTTCGAATAGTTTAACAGTCAAAAAAATAATAACAAAATAAAACATGCAACAAGCAATGAAATTCTGGGTTCAAGACACCAAACCAGCTTGGTTACCTGAAGGATTCCAAGTGGTAAGTTTTCATATTTCTTTCGAGATCTTTTCACACATTTTAAAGCCAACCGAAATGTTAACTCACGTTCAACAATTATGTAAAGAAGCCGAAACTGTGTATAATCAAGTCGATTTGGAAGGTAATGGCTTCTTGAGAAGAAGAGAATTCAAGAAGGCAATGAAGAGATTGGGAATTAACAAGTTTGAAGCAAGGTATGTGTTATCTTGGAGGATTAGTTAAATTTCTGACATTTTGACTTTAGACACATGTTGATCTTTGTTGACAGAGAACGTCTCAAAGTTGTCAGTATCAAAAACTACGTCAATGCCTACTTATTCATCAAGAGTGGTGGCTTGAATCACATCAATGCTGATTATCAAGGTCCACTCACTTCCTCAGTTGACCAAAGAACTCACATGAACAATACAGATCCAGGAGAACCATTCAATTTCTCTCAATTAACCAAAAGACAATTATCCAACACTACCCAACCACTCTCATTCTTTGCTCAAAACATGTTCCAACCAATTCCTCGTCCAAAAACCATCTACGGTTACACTCAATCCATGAAAGCAGCTAATGGAATGTATCTCTGCTCTGAAAATGGAAGAGTCATTGCGAATCGTCCAGTAGTTGGTCCATGGGAGAATTTCTTCTTTCACTCAGATACAGAATGGTCCAGTGATTGGAATTCTTATTGTGCATTGAGAACTCATTGGAATACTCTGTTGTGTTGTGAGATGGATAATTCAATTATTGATAATAGAACTGTTGCTGGACCGTGGGAGAGGTTTACTGTGGAGATTCCTCCTGGGGCTGGTGGTGGCATTAGTTGTTACAAGTCGTGGACTGGACATTATTTGACAGCTGATGCTTCTGGAAATGTTTCGTTCAGTGCAACTAGTATTGGTCCAAATGAAACATGGATTTGTAAAGTACTTAATGTTCTATATCTTTAAAAAGTTTAATTGTAATGTAAATATAAATGATTTATTTTTCTTGAATGTAAACTATTTCTGTAATCACGTTTCGTTTTCTTTCATTCCAAAAAAATGTCAAAAGAATGTGCAGTGGCTGATCGCGAATATTATGAAGAATCTCAACCACCAACAGTGCTAAATAATCAAAATAATGCAAAGAAACTAGACGAAAGCTTTCCACCAGTTGAATATCACGAAAATTCATTAAATTCTTTAACACCCGATTACATTTACCTTGACGAGAACAATATCGAAAAGGATTTAATCTGTTCTCTCTGCTACCATCCCTTCATTGATCCAATTATGCACTCAACATGTGAAAATATGTTCTGCTCCTCTTGTGTTAAAAAAGTTATTGGAAACAAGTGTCCCCTATGTAAAGGAGAGAATTTCACATCAAATTGCTCATCTGTTCCTCGATTCGTCACCAACAAGTTGCTACAATTGAAAGTGGAATGTTCCATGTGTAAGGGAGCAGTTGCAAGAGGTGATTTGAAAGATCATCAGGAAAAATATTGTCCTCTTCATGATGCCTATCAACAGGTGACTAAATTGAAGGAGAAACTGGAAGAGGAATGCAAGGAGAAGAAGGATGAGTTGGGAAGAAAGTTGGAAGAATTATCTGAAAGTTTAAATCTCGAATGGAGTCAAAAGAAGGATGAGTTGACCAGAGAATTTGAATCGAAAGAGGAGGAACTGCATGAACGAATTGAATTATTTGAGAATCAAATATTGGCAAGGGAAAAACTTGAGAATGTGAACAAACCTATTCATTTAAATGTTGGTGGGACTATTCTTACAGTTTCTTTGGGAACATTTATTCATAATGAAAGAGAATCAGATAATTTATTTAAAAAAATGTTCACAGGTGAATATCCATGCTATCAAACACCTTCAAAACAGTTTGAAGAGCCTGTGTATTATGTTGATTGTGATCCAATGATTTTCAGATACATCTTAGGATGGTTACAATATGGAAAGAACTCAATTGGGCCAAGTTTGAGTTTATCTGACATTCTTCTAGCTTGTAAGAAGTTTAGTTTAGATAATCTAGCTGTTAAATTAACCAAATCTGAATACTTTTATGAGATTTCTCAACTAGAATTCTTCAAAATGAAGAATAGCTCTCCATCCATAATTTTAAACAAATTTGACATGACTAATTTAATGTTAAGAGGTATGGATCTACAAAAATCCTCAATTTCACTTTCACTTTTCAGGGGAATGGATTTGAGTGGAGTGAATTTTTCCAATTCTAATTTGAATGGATGTAACTTTAGTGGTTGTATCTTGGATGGAACTAATTTTTCAAAATCCAACTTGTCAAATGCAAACATTCAAATAAGTTCATCTTGTAATTTCACTAACTGTGATTTTTCTGGTTGCTTGATTGACAAGTCAAATTTGAACAATCTTTCATTTTCAGGATCCAGTTTTAAAGAAACCAAGTTTGTGGAATTGTGTAATTTGATTGAGAATGTGACACTGAGCAAGTGCACAATTTACAAAGTTTACTTAAATGGAAAGACGTTTAATAGAGTTGACTTTAGTGAAACATCTTTTAAAGATTGCAAGTTTGCAGATTGTACCTTCAAGAACTGTAACTTTTCAGAGACTCAATGGAAGACAAGCAAAGTAGAGCGATGTAATTTTCTGGAATGCATTCAGTAAATTGGCAAATGCAACTTCAAACAAGTTAACCAATCTGATTGCCAATTTAAAAATTGTGCTCCAGAAGTTGTTGGACAATTCAAATCCATCACCATTACAGACAGCTCTATTTGGAAAGATATTTGTTCTAGTATTGGATTGCTTGGATTAAAACTTATTTATCGTGGAACAGTTCATGGTTTTAGTGCTTCTTCCTTCCACTCCAATTGCGATAATCAAGGACCAACCTTGACCATCATTAAATCTGAAAATGATCAAATATTTGGAGGATTTACCATTAATAATTGGAAATCGATAGAATCAAAACAGGAGCAAGATAAAAATGCATTTCTTTTCAAAATTGAAAATAGAAAATTTAACAGATTCAATATCAAACCAGAGAGGATAGATTTCGCCACATATAGCAGATTCAACAGAATGGAATTTCCATTGACACGAATTGTAATGTGAATAATAATTCATATGCTGACTTTGGAAATACTTATCAGCTCCCTAGTGGAATGATTCGTGGAGAGGTCTCGAAAAGATATTTGGCAGAAAGTGAGAAATTCAAAGTTGAAGAAATTGAGGTTTTCAAGTTGCTTTTAAATTGAAATCTGAATCACTTAAGGGAAATCTTTAAATTTTGATGTGGTCTTCTGGAAAATATATTCTGGCTTTCATTTTTATTTTTAATAACCTAAATTTAGAAAACTCATTTCTATTATTAGACTCTTGTAATAAATATAGATCTCTAAAAATTCTAAAAATAATTATAATATTTTTAGAATCAAAAAACTAAAAATATATTTTCTATTAATATTATGTTAAAAATAATCACCACACTCAACAACAAATCATCATGGGAATAATATCTTGCGGAGTGTTTCACGACCCAATTTTTTAAACAATAAACACATCATCTCAACACACAATAAAAATCACAAGATTTTTCGGAATAAGTTATGATTATTAGACCCTTTATACTCAGGTAAACAATTACTTTCAAATACGAGTAAAGACAATTCTTTTGAATGGACTGTAAAAAAATTTTTTACAGAAACCTCTTATAACGTTCAAGAGTAAAGTAAACTTGAAAAAATTAATTTTATTGAAAATGGTTGGTTTTGTCATCATGATCGGAATCAGTTGTTGCACAAAACATCTCTCAAACTTATTCATAATCATCAATGCCATTCTGCTGAAGCAGATGATGAAATATTGTAACACGATAATATAGCCTATCACAAATTATTGTGATTGTTCTTTTCATGATGAAGAAACCTTTAGAGATGGACTAGCTTTGACATTTTTTTTGTTGTTGTTTTCAAGTTTACTTTACTTTACTCTGAACGTTATAAGAGGACTCTTGAAAATAAAATTTTTTTTAATTACTGTTCAATTCAAGCCCACCACTATAAAGGGTCTATTGTAATACTCAGTCCATTTTATAAGAATATAAAATATTTATTATTATTATTCAAATACCAATCTCAAATCAATTTGCACTGCAGATGGAATTTCTTCTTCCTTCTTCTTCTTTCTGAATAATTTTCTAACAGATTCCGATGAAAAATTGGACAAGACCGATATGAAGGAATGTCTAGAATTTGTTGTTGAGTTTCCATCATCATCATCACCTCCTCCTCTGCCTACGCCTTTGCCTCCTCTCACAACAGTCACTGCTCCTTCTGAATTATGATCATCACCATCATCATTATCATGACTAATTGTGATGTTGTTGCTATGATTTGAATGTGTATCCTCCTCTCCCCTTGTTGAAGGAGTTTCTCTTGGAGTTGGTGGAAGATAAATTGTTTCTCCCTCCACAATAGGATGATCTTCATTATATATTATTGTTGTTGTACTCGTATTATTAATAGTATTATTTAAATTAATGATAGGAACAACAGGATGAGGATGAGGATTAAAAGGCTCGATATGAAGATGAGGTTTTTCATCATCACCATTATCACTTTCTACATCGACATCAATTGCTGTTGTCATTGAAAGTGCTCTTCTTCTTCTATTCCGATGATGACGAAGAATGCTCGATTTACCACAACAATAACAACACCACCAACAGCAACAACAAAACTGCAGGCAAGGAATGGCTAGACAACATAATTCTCCATAGAAACAATAGTAGGCATAGCAACCAATTGTTACAGAGCAACACAAAACCATAGCACCAACCACCACAGCAATGATAATGCCTATTAACATACTCTGATCATCTATATAAATCTTCTTTTGGACAATGAAGAGATTGAGTGTGGAGGAGACAAGATTGGTCATGTTGAAAGTGACAGAACATTTGCAGGTTGCCATTGTTGAATTGATAATTGTAACTATGCAATTTGGATTATCTTCGATGGATAGTGTACTGATTGAGATTGAGGCACATGAATATGATGTATTGACCTCTTTGAAGAACAATTGACCCAAATTACTGTCATCTTGAGTAGTAGTAGTATTCTCTAGCAGTGGAATATGGAATTCCAAGTCAATTATGGAAGATGATTTCAATAAGGCAACATCCAAATCACCAAAACCAAAAGCAATAATTTTAGATTGGAGAGAGGACTTTCTTCTAACTTTCTCAGAGAGAGTTTCTACTTTTGAGGCTAAATAATCACCAATGGAGAATATATCATCCACCACAAGGAATGCTTGAAGGAATGGTTTGCTGGAATGTGTGGCCTTAATAGTATTATTTAACTGTACTTTGACACTTGTCAATGTTGAAGGTTCTATCAACAGCTGATGATTCGAATAGTCGTATAACCACACCAGTTCCATCACTCTTCTATAGAATGCTGCCTTCTTAAAGACTTTTGTTCTTGTCTTTGGTTGACTTCTGGCTTCTAGATGGGAGGTAAACTTGAGAGTTGTAAATAATTGTTGTGCATTTGAAGCTTGTTTGGTAAAGAATCGTTTCTCAAGGATGAATTGGAAGGCAGAATCAATGACAGAGTCCAAACAAAAGTCAACACCCACTGGAAGTTTCAAGCTTTCATCAGCAATCACCTTAACAAGATATTTGACAAGTTGGGATAGAGCTTCTGATACTGTATTTGTATCAAGATGTTTGAAGTTATACAGAATCGAGTCTACAGTAAATGCAGCTATGGAAATGAGTTGATTATCCATCATTATTTCTGTACCATTTGCTAACATTCTCAATAGTTGTAGATTCTTGTTTTGATATTCTGCAAAATCCTTGATGGTATTTTCACAAGCAACCCCAACAAAACCTTCCCTACACATACAGGTATCCTTTTTCAAAATTCCACCATTCTTACATGTGAGACTTCTTGTCAATGACCTAGTATTTTCATATATTGAAATTGGTTCAATTTTTGTGATGGCTCTATTCAGAAGGGCAGTAGAAGTTCTAGATATGGCTGCTGATTGATAGAGTGATCCCAATAGCGACTCTTCTTTTGCCTGTTTAATCCATTGTTGAGCTAAAACTTGTACTTGTGAAAAGGTTGAATATGAGCGAGTTTGAATGCTTACATTCATTGATTCTATAGTTGATGCTTGTGTGGCTGTATTGATTACCTCAAAGAAACATGTAACTGTCTCACCAATGAATGCTGTAGGAAGTTGTTTCGAATAGCCAACATCAATATTATGCATGTAAATTTTTACACCAGACCTATCATCAATGAAACCATATCTGTAATCTAAATGATCTTCTTCACTTTTACAATTCATGCAAATGAATTCAAATTCTGTTTCTACTGCAAAACCATTCAAAGGAGTAATGGTACAATAACACATTGGAGGAGGGGAGGCAACACTGAAACTGTACTGAATCAATGAAGCAACATTTGCATTTGGATCATAAGCTGACAGAGTAATAATATTATTGGAGCCAGCATTTAACAAACTTGGATCAATATTAATGTAATCTGAACTTGTGGAACCAACAATAACATTATTAACAATTACCGTATAATTGGTAATTAAAGATGTTCCAGGAATGAGAGAGGTCTGTAATGTTAGAGTATCACTAACAAGAAAGTATTCCTTCTTTGGGTAAACATTAATAATGTTAATTATTGGTGGAATATACGTAAAATGGATAGTAGTCGATTTATGAATACTTCTTCCATCAGATTTAGTAACTTTAAGATCTAGTTCTAGTGATAGTGGAGGAACGGGGAAAAGAGCTGCATCAATTTTGAAGTTCGTTGACTTTTCTGAGGATAGTACTGAGAGAAACTCTAATAAGAGCTCATTGACGTTATTGTCCAAGCATGTCCATTCCCACACTTCTGTAGAGTATGCGTTGTAAACCATTTCAGGATCTGTATAATCTACATTAATTATGGTATAATTGGGTTGTGCATCAAAAGTAATTAAGTTCAAGTATAGATCTGGAGGTTTGGTGATTAAGGTTACAACTGAAACATCTTTGATGTTAGGATTGGATGGATAGTAGACAGATACTTGGAATTTATAGATCTGGTAACCAAATGTTTCTAAAGAGACGTAGAGGTCAGAGTATTTATCCATACTGTATCTGATTTTTGGTCCACTCAATTGAGTCCATTCAATGATTGAATTTTCTGATTTGCATGAAGATTCTGACACTATTTTCTTGATGGTAATAGGAAATTGAGTAGTTACTTTTTCAATAGTTGTTTGTGGAACATATAATGCTGGAAGAGGGCTTTCTGCTTTTGAAAATATGGAAGAATATACAGTTGAGCTATTTACAATATTTCCCACCACAAGAGAAACTAAATATTTTCCTTGTGGAAGGGTTGAATCTAGCTTAATTAATGGAGTATTGGGGAAATTGAATGGAATAATTTGGAACACATGGTCTGTCTCATTGAACAAGGTCCAGTAATAGTCAAGTGGTGTATTATTTGGAGATATACTGAGCGAGCCATCAATGATAATCTCATCACAGGAGCTATAGAATTCTGAGAGTAGATTTATGGATGCTGTTGGAGCGATAACTTTTTCATTTTCACACCAAATGCCATAATATCCATTCTCACATTGGCATTGATTGTAATCTATGCATACACCTCTTCCAGAACAAACATTAGAATCATTCGAAAGTAGAGAATCACATCGTGTCAACTCACAATTCACACCAACATGATTACTGGTGCATGTACAATTATCAAAGCTTGAACAATTACCACGATTTGAACACACCAAAGGATTGGTATTATTCAGACCGAAACAAGAGTATTGTTCACAACTTTCACCGAAATAGCCGTCAGAGCATTGGCAAGTATCCAAATCAATGCAATTACCCTTTCCAGAGCAAACAGTTTCTTTTTCACTTGATGAAATGTTGAAACATGTGGTCAACTCACAATTAGCTCCATGATACTTTTCTCCACATGTACAATTATTGTAGGATGAGCAAAATCCTCTACCAGAACAAACCTTTGAATCGGCATGCTCTGTTCCATTACAATCAAAATAATTACATAGATCTCCATAAGTTCCTAATTGACAAGAGCACTTATTCACATCAATACATTGGCCATTTCCAGAACACACTGTCGAGTTGTCTTTTTCAATACCAAAGCATGAAAATTCTTTACATTCCACACCAGTATATCCTGAACGACATTTACAATCATCAAAATCAACACATTCACCTCTTCCTGAACAAACATTTTGAGTTTCATTGCTCAAAACACCAAAACAACTTGTCACTGAACAATCTAATCCGAAATAATGTGATACACATTCGCACTCATCTGTTTCAGTACAACTTCCGTGCCCAGAGCAAACTCTGGAATCAGTTCTATTCATTCCATAACAAGAATAATATTGGCAGTTGTCTCCGTAATATCCTTCAGAACAATTGCATTGATTGAATCGATAGCAATTTCCTTTTCCAGAGCAAACTTGAGGATTTGATGAAGATACATTGAAACACACATAAGATTCACATTCTTCTCCATGATATCCATGCTCACATGAGCAATTATTAGGAGAAACGCATTGACCATGACCTGAACAAGCCAATGGTTCTGAATGTTGCACATTAAAACATGAGAAATTGTCACATTCCTTTCCATAGTAACCAGATACACATGTGCAATTATCAAAATCAACACATTCACCTCTTCCAGAACAAACACTTGAAGAATTGGAAAGTTTGGAGAAGCAAGTAGTGATGGAACAGTTCAAATCCATATAGTTCTCATCACATTGGCATTGATCCAAGCTGGAACAAGTTCCTCTTCCAGAACAAACATTGGAATCTGAAGAATTGAATCCAAAACATGTGTAAAGTTCACAAAATTCACCAAAATATCCATATTCACATTGGCAATTATTAAATGTTTCACATGAACCATGCTTGGAACAAACTGAGCTATTGGAAGATGAAATTCCATCACAAGTAGTTTCTTGACAGAATGAACCAAAGTAATGTTCTACACATTCGCATGTGTCATGTTGCTTGCATTCACCACGTCCATTACAAACTCTTGAATCATTACTTAATAATCCCTCACAGGATGTCACTTGACATTTATCACCCCACCAATTGTTTGAGCAGTGACATGTATCGGGTCCAACACATATTCCATTTCCAGAACATGATATGTTTAAAGTTTTCGATTCATTAAAACATGAAAATTCGTCACAATTTGATCCAAAATAATCAATTTCACATTGACATAAATTAAAATCAATGCATTGACCATGTGAGGAACAAACTAGATTGGTTTGATTCGATGGGATGGAAGCACAGGTGGTGAGTTGACATTCTTCTCCGAAATAGTTTGGTAGACAAAAGCATTCGTCAAGTTTCGAACAATTTCCTCTTCCAGAACAAACACTTTTGGTTTCAGTATGATTAATTCCAAAGCAAGCATAATTTTCACAATCCATGCCTGAATAACCATTCTCACATTCGCAAATTTCAGATTTTAAGCATTTTCCGTGTTTGGAACAAACTGAACTATTTAAATGCTCAATTCCATTACAATAAAATTCTTCACAATTTGATCCAAAATAACCAGTATTACAAGTGCAATTGTTAAAATCATTACAGTTACCATTTTTGGTACAAACAGTCGAGTCATTTGACATTATTCCAAAACAAGAGGTTACGTCACATGCCAATCCAAAGTAATTTTCTTGACATTCACAATTTCCAAAATCTGAACAATTTCCTCTTCCTGAACAAACTAACACATCATTTTGAGTAATATTGTTACATGTGTAATATTGACATTCATCACCAAAATATCCAAATTTACAAGAACAAGTATTGTAATCAATACATTTTCCTTTTCCAGAACAAGCTCGTGAACTGGAAGATATTTCAGCACCACAACTTGTCAATTGACAATAATCTCCAAAATAGTGAGCTTGACATTTACAATTATTGTAAGAAGTACAATTTCCTTTTTGGGAACAAACAACAGAAGAATTGGTATTGTTAATGCCATTACAAGTATAATATTGGCATTCTTCTCCGAAATATCCATCATTACAACGACATGAATTGTAATCAATACATTGGCCGTTAGAGGAACAAGCAGTTTCGTTTTGGTTGGAATATTCGAAACATTCGAATATCTCACAATTGAAGCCCCTGTAATTAAGCGAGCAGTTACATTGATTGTAATCAATGCAATTACCCTTTGATGAGCAGACTGTTGAATTTAGAGATGATACTGAGCTACATGTGGTCAACTCACAATTTTTTCCAAAATAATTTTCTTCACAAGTACAATTATCGAAACTTGAGCATTTTCCTCGAGAAGAGCAAACTTTAAAATCGACATTTGATATTCCATGACATGAAAAATATTGACATTCGTCTCCAGAATATTCATCATTTTCACAAGCGCAATTATTAAAGGAAGTACATTTGCCGAAACCAGAACAAACTGAAGAGTTATAAGATTCAATTCCATTACAAGTGGTAATTTCACAACTCAATCCAAAATAATTCATTTCACATTGACAGGTGTCAAAATCAACACAAGCTCCATAACCAGTACAAACCAAACTGTCATTACTCAATATTCCATTACAACTTGTCACTTGACACATTGATCCAAACATATTTTCCTTACATTCACAAGTATTTACATCAAGACATTTGCCACGACCAGAACATGACAAGTTGGAGAATTTGGAAATTTCAAAACAATTGAAATTTTCACATGAATCTCCATAATAATCAGCTGTGCAATTACAAGTATTGTAATCTATACATGTTCCCTTTGATGAGCAAACAGAACTTTCATTGGATTGAATATTATTACAAGTGGTCAATTCGCAATTATTTCCAAAATAGGAATCAATACAGGTGCAATTATCAAAACTCGAACATTTTCCTTTTGAAGAACAAACAGATTCCAAAGTATTGTTCACATTGAAACAAGTATAAAATTGACAATCATTTCCAAAGTATCCTTCGTCACATTCGCAATTCTCAAAACTTTTACAATGACCTCTTGATGAGCAAACTGAGGAATTGTAATGTTCAATGCCATTACAGTTAAATAATTCACAATTGGTTCCATAATATCCTTCATTGCATTCGCAGAAATCAAAATCTGTGCAATTTCCTTTTCCAGAACAAACATTAGTTTCGTTTGAAAGTGTTGAATTACAACTGGTCAATTGACATTCATCTCCTAAATAATTAAGGAAACATGAACAATTATTTGTTGAATAGCATTCTCCACGTGAATGACAAACAGATGAGTTGATATTCAAAATGTCAAAACATTTGAATTCAGAACAATCAGAACCAAATGAATTTTCAAAACATTGACAGGTGTCAAATTGTGAACAAACTCCATTTCCAGAACATGTCAAATCTGTTACATTGGATGGAACTCCAAAACATACAGTAACTTGGCAGAATTGACCAAAATAATTTTCAGTGCAATTACAACTATCTGTTTCAATACAATTACCACGTCCTGAACAAACAATTGATTCATTACTCAATGTTCCATTACATTTGTATAATGAACAGTCAGCTCCGTAAGCATCTGGTTGACATTGACAGGAATTCACATCAGAACATTTGCCTCTGCCAGAACAAACTAATTGTGATTGATTTGAAGGAATGGAAAAACAATCAGTCACTTGACAATAATCTCCATAATATCCATCTCTGCATGAACATTGATTTGGTGATAGACATTCTCCTCTTCCAGAACAAGTAATTGTTTCATTACTAAAAATGGAATTACATATTGTAACTGAACAATTCAGTCCAAAGTAATTAAAATCACATTCACACAAATCTGTTTCTGAACAAATACCATGTCCAGAACAAACCAAAGATTCACTATTATTCAAACCAAAGCAAGTGTGGAATTGACAATTCTCTCCATAATATCCCTCAGAACAATTACAATGATTGTAAGAAGAACAATCACCTTTTCCAGAACAAACACTGTTATTGGTCATATCAAGTCCAAAACAAGATGTTCTCTCACAAAATTCACCATAGTATCCATCCGTACAATTACAAATATCTTTTGCAACACAATTTCCATTGGAATTACAAACACTTGTCAAATTACCAAAAGTTCCATTACATTTGGATATGGAACAATCCTCACCAAATGCATCTGGAAGACAAATACATGAATCTATATCTGAACAATTGCCTCTTCCTGAACAAACTGTAGAGTCCAAGTTGAGTGTGCCAAGACATGAGAATTGAGAACAAGTTATTCCTGAATAACCTGGTTTACAAGTACAATTATTGAAAGAAGAACATAAACCGTGAGAGGAGCATACTTGAGTGAAATTGGAAACAATATTTTCACAAGTCGTGAGCTGGCAGAATGGACCAAAATAATTTGCCGTGCAATTACAGATATCTGGATTAATACACGAGCCACTTCCGCTACAAACAAGGGAATCATTACTTGGAATACCATTGCACAATGTAAATTCACAATTTGTTCCATAAATTTGAGAATTATTGCAATGACAATTGTTAACATCTGAACAAACGCCCCTTGAGGAACAAACTGATGAGGAATTTCTGTTAAATCCAAAGCAATCATATTCTTGACAGTCAGATCCATAGTATCCTTCCTCACATTCACAATTATTGTATTGAGTACAATTACCGCGACCTGAACAAACAATTGTGGAATTTGAAACGATATTTGAACACGTTGTGAACTGACACCATTCACCAAAGTAATGTTTGGAACAGTTGCAAACTTTGAAATCGGTACAAATACCATTCTTTGAACAGACTAATGAATCATTTGCAGTAATATTGTTACAATATGGAATTTCACAATTCAATCCAGTATAACCATATTTGGAATCACAATTACAATTATTATATGAATCACAACTTCCATGTCTACTACAAACACGTTGATCATTAGATCCAAAACCATAACATGTTGTAAAATCACAAAAAGTTCCAGCATAATTCAAGTCACATTCACAAACGTCCATGTCAACACATTTTCCAAAATTATTACAAACAAGAGATGAGTTTGAAGAGATCGAATCACAAGTAGTAAATTCACAATTCGATCCAAAATATCCTTCTCTACATTCACATCTATTGTACTCTGAACAGATTCCTCGGCCACTACATACAGACCTATTATTCGAATCCACTCGGTCACAAGTTGTAAGTTCACACCAATCACCGAAATAATTCTGAGAGCAGTTACAATAATTTGGACCATAGCAAGTACCCCTGGAATTACAAACTCTTGAATCATTGCTCATCGTTCCATTACAATATGTCAATTCGCATTCTAATCCAAAACTAAACTCATTACACTCACACTTATTGTAATCAACACATTTGCCATTTTTTGAACAAGTTTCATTGGAATTAAAAACTCCAAAACATGAAAATTCGCTGCAATTAAACCCAAAGTATCCATAACTGCATTCACAGGTATCGTATGCAGTACATTTACCCTTTCCATTACAAACTTGAGAATGTTGTGAATCAACTCCATAACAACTGGTCAACTCACAAAAGGAGCCCCAATAGTACGGTTCTATACAAGAGCACACATCAGGATTAGAACAGTTGCCTCTACCAACATCAGTACACTTTCCAATTAGTCCATTACATATTGGAATATCACAATCTGAGCCACCATAACCTAAAGTCTCATTACATGTGCAATTATTGAAATTTTCACACAATCCTCTCAAATTACAAACCAATGGTGAAGTGTTTTCAATGAGATTACATGTTGTAAATTGACACCACTCTCCATAATGACCCTCTTCACATGAACAAACATCGGTTTTTGTGCATTTTCCATGACCATTACAAACAAGAGTTTCATTTCCCAAAGTGCCATTACAATACAATACTGAACAATCAACTCCAAAAGTGTCTGGTCTACAAGAGCAGGTATTGAAATCTGTACAATTTCCATTTCCAGAACAAACAGTTGGAGAGTTTGGAAGCAAATCAAAACATGTGAATAAATTGCAGTCCTCTCTGACATATGGTTGTAAAGGGTCAAAGGTTGATGGTTGACTGAATTTTGCTTGTTTCAAAATTAAATAACCACCTTCTGTACAGGTTGACCAAATAGCTCCTTGAATATTATCTGAAACTATGAAATCGTGTCCATATCTTGCAATTACAGTTCCATGAACATTTCCAGAAAAGGTATTTCCATGAATTGCTGGATTGTAAACCCAATTTGCATTTCCAGAGCTGAAATAATAAGTCAACCAAAAAACATTTCTATAGGTAGCACATTTCAGATAGGTAAAATCGGCGCCAAAATAGTGTACGAAAGGAAGCTTAAAGACCACTGGTTCAATTCCTACAATTGTAAACTTTTGGCCATTGATTGTCCATCCATTTTCCATGCAATAGACACCTCCTCTGTTGATGATAATGTTTCTACCCATGTCAGTGTCTGGATTTTTTATCATGTAATCACAAGGAAGGGCCAGAAGCTCCTGCATCTTATTAGAAACTTGTTGAACTAATTCTAAACCGTAATTTTCTGAACTGTTTGTAACTATAGCACTTCCATTGGCAACATAGGGATAAACTGGATCTGGATAAACATAATTTGGAGGATTAATGACGAATGAAGGTATTGCAATACTAGCAGAAAGTGGCGCGTTATCCAAACTATTCTTAACTAAAACTATTGGAATGTTGGAGATTAATTTATAACCAGCAAATATATCATTTTCGCACAAGGTTCCAGAAAAGCCAGCACTACAAGTACATTGATCAAATGCATAGCAACGTCCTCTTCCAGAACAAACTGAACTATTCGTATTTTCAATGCCGAAACATGAAGTAAATTGGCAGAAAGTTCCATAATAATTTTGAGAACAGGAGCAATTATTTGGAGCAAAACAAGCACCTCTTCCAGGTGCAGTACAAATTCCTACCAAATTATTACAAATAGGAATATCACAATTAGGTCCGCCAAATCCCATTTCTGTCCTACATGTACAATTATCGAAATAGTCACAAATTCCACTACTGTTACAAACAAGAGGTGAATATTTGGAAACTCCTGCACATGTTGTAAACTCACAAAAAGTTCCATTGTGTCCAAAGTCACATTGACATGTATCCTTGGCCACACATCGTCCGTGTCCACTACAAACATTTGAAACATTACTAAGAATTCCATTACAAAAGGAAAGTGAGCATTGAGGACCATAACTATCTGAATTACATATACAGGTGTCAAAATCTACACATTTACCCCTTCCAGAACATGTCATATTTGAAGTTGACACAATGCCATAACAATTCACACGAGAACAGAAAGTTCCATCATAATACGAATCTTGTGGATTAAATGTTATAGGTGCTGACAGTTTTACATCTTTAAAATTGAGATTTCCTTTAGAATTTGGTGAATGAATCATCAAAGATCCTTGTATGTCACCTGTAACTGTCAAATCAGCATTGCTATTTGCGATCATTGTTCCTTGAACAGTTCCAGAAATAGTTAAATTAGAGTTTGCATCAGTGGATAGGAAGAGTAAATTTCTATAAGTTGCGCACTCAAGATATGAAACCTTGGATCCAATATAATTAAAATACGGAGCTTTAAAGACAACTTGTTCAGTACCTATTATGGTTAAAGACATTTTGTTAATTGTCCATCCTTGCTTCAAGCAATAAACCATTCCACCTCTAATAGTGATGCTAGTAGTCAATTCCAAGTCTGGATTAGTAACATTAACTGTACATGGTAATGCTATTAATTCAGTTACTTTTTTTGTTAATTCTTGAGAAAGAATTTGTCCGCTAGATGTTGTAGTATTCTTAATGACTGCATCTCCATTCGAAACATATTGGAATTGATACTTTTCTGTAACCATTAGTGGAATTGCAATACTGGCCAATAGATATGAATTGGATCTTGAGTTTTTTACCAAATTTAGTTTCTTATTGGTGATGAGTTTGTATCCAGCAAAAAGATCATTTTGACAGTTAGTGCCAGAGAAACCTGCTCTACAAGAGCATGTATTGTAATCTGTACAATAACCATGTCCACTACAAACCATCGAATCATTGGAAATAAGCCCAAAACAAGTAGTCAACTCACAATTCACACCCAAATATCGTGAAGATGAGCATGTACAAGTATTAGCATTCGAACAAGTTCCTCTTCTCGAACAAACATTAGGATTTGAAGCATTCAAACCGAAACACATGGAAACATTGCACCAAGTTCCAGTAAATTTCGAATAATCAGCGCAAGTGCAATTATTGAAAGGCCAACAAGTTCCATGCCCACCACAAACTAATGAAGAATTTGAAGATGAAATGGAAGCACAAGTTGTTTGATTGCAATTTGGTCCAAAATAATTGGATTTACAGGAACAAGTGTCAGTTGCCAAACAACTTCCCAATCCATTGCAAGTTTGTGTGGAATTACTCCAAATGCCAAAGCATTTCTGAATGGAACAATTCGTTCCATAATATCCATCGTAACATTTACATGTGTCAATAGCAGAACAAACACCTTTTCCACTACAAACATTTGTTGAATTTTTGAGAATTCCAAAACATTTGTAAATTTCACAATTACTTCCAGAATATCCTGTCTTACAAGTACAATTGTTGTAATCAATGCATTTACCAAATCCTGAACAAGTTAGTGAATTATTTGATTCAATTCCACCACAAGTTGTCAAATCACAGAATTGACCATGATAACGTTGTGAACAGTTACAAACATCTGGATAGATACATGAACCATGAGTATTACAAACTGATGAAAGAGAAGCCTTTGTTCTATTGCAAATAGGAATTTCACAATCTAATCCAGTATAACCAAACTCTGAACTGCAATTACAATTATTGTAAACTTGACAAGAACCTCTTTCTCTACAAGCCAAGGAAGAATTTGATGAAACACCATTACATGTGGTTAGCTCACAGAATTTTCCGTAATAATGAGCATTACACTCACAAATGTCTTTGGCAGAACAAATTCCTCTACCAGAACAAACAGTTGATATGTTACTGAAAATTCCATCACATTTAGATATGGAACAATCACTTCCATAGGCATCCTCTGAGCATACACAAGTGTTATAATCTATGCATTGTCCTCTTCCATGACATGTACTATTTAAATTTGAAGAAACATTATAGCAAGAAGTGTAATTACAAAAATCTCCGATATACTTTTCATGAGTATCAAAAGTTAATGGTACAGCAAGAGAAACTTCATGTAAAATTGAGGTAGAGCTTCCTGTTACCCATAATTGACCATCAAACGGTCCTATTACCGTCATTGATCCAGAATAATTGGGAATGTACGTTCCAAGAATTGGTGGTAAATAATTTGTCAACTTGTTTCCTCCTTCAATCACAGTGGAACCACCAATTATCCAGAAAAAGTTTCTATGGGATGCACATTCCAGTAGCAATATGTTTGCATTAGTAATTGTAAGAGACTGAACTTTGAAAATCACTAGTTCAGTACCAATAATTACAATTCTTTGGGACGAGTTGATTGTCCAAGTGAAATCAAAACAAAATACCCCAGATTTTCTAACAACAAGTTCTTTAGGTATTTGTGATGAGCTGGTAAATCGTTGAGTGCAGGCCATTGCTATCAAGCTAGTTCTTTTTCTCTTCATTTTTTGAATAATCACATTTGACAGCGAGATAGAACTTTTAGTCATGGTTGCCTTTCCCTTGGATTTTAAAGTAATTCCGGTACTACTCATAGAACCATAAATAATACTTGATCCAAAGTACCTAGTTAAGCTGTTTACAACTGGCTGATAATAGTTGTTCGAATATTCAATTTCGAATACACCTGGAGTATCAGAAATGAGACCATACCCAGCAAACATATCATACATGAATCTTTCACAATAGATTCCATCATATTCGTCCTGACAAGAGCATGTTTCGTACAAATTACAAGCTCCATGTCCATTACAAACAAACGAATCATTCGAAGCAGTTTGGTTACAAGTTGTCAGTTGACACCAATCACCATAATAATGATCATTACATAAACAGCTATTAGGGGATGTACACTTTCCGTGTGAGCTACAAACATTCGAATTATCGCTATAAGTTCCATTACAAATTGTAATCTGACAATTCAATCCAAAATAATTTGGAATACAGGAACAAGTATTTGGGGCCATGCATGAACCTTTAGAAGAACAAGTTGAATTCAACAAGCTAGATACTCCATTGCAATCATACTTATTACAAATTGTATCGTAATAACCTGATTTACATGTACAAGTTTCGAATGCAGTACAAGTACCATGTGAGGAACAAACGGCCGTGTTATTCGATTCAGTTCCATTACAAGTAGTTACCTCACAATTAACACCATAGTAATGTTCTTTGCAGTGACATGTATTTGGTTCTGTGCAGTTACCTCTACCTGAGCAGACTTTCGAATCAGTGGCAGGTTTAGAATAACAAACAGGGATTTGACATTCAGATCCAGTATATCCCTTTAGAGGATTACAAACACAAGTATTATAAGGCCAACAAGTACCCCTTTCATTACAAACGGTGGTGTTTGTGGAATTAATTCCAAAACATGTTGTAAATTGACATTTGAAGCTTTCGTAATTTGGTTTACAGACACAGGTGTCAGTATCTACACATGTGCCTTCTCCGCTACAAACATGTGATACATCATTACTTAAATACCCATAACACTTGGAAATTGAGCAATCATTTCCATAATATCCATCTCTACATTTACAATTATTGTAATCTAAACATTCACCTCTTCCAGAGCAAGTTGTGTTTGAATTTCTATTGATTCCATAACAATTAAATTCTTGACAATTATTTCCGTAATAGTTCGTCTTACAATCGCACTTTTCAAAGGCAGAACAAGAACCATGAGATGAACAAACAGTTGAATTTGTTGAATTAATTTCTGAACATGTTGTCACTTGACATAGATCACCAAAGTAATGATCTGAACAATTACATACAGAAGGAGAGATGCAAGAACCATGTGCACTGCATACTGCACTACCAGTTGCCAAAATTCCTTTACAAATAGGAACTTGGCAATAGCTTCCTCCATATCCATAATTGGAATTACAAGAACAGTTTTCATATTTGATGCATTGTCCTCTTCCACTGCAAACATCTGAAGAATTGCTGGAAATACCTCCACAAGTAGTCAATTCACAGAAAGTTCCATAATAATTAGCATTACAAGAACAAGTATCTGGTCCTACACATTTTCCTCGAGTGGAGCAAACTGAAGATGTATTGCTATATGTGGAGTTACATAAGAACAAGGAGCAATCTAATCCAAAAGCACCTTCTAGACACTTGCATGTATCAATATCGACACAAACACCCTTTCCTGAACAAGTTGTATTTGAGTTGGATTTTTCATTGTAACATGTTGTAAAGTTACAAAAATCTCCAACTATTTGATCATAAGGATCAAATGTTATAGGAGCTGTAAACTTCACATTACTTAATTCTATCATCCCTAAATTCCAAATCTGACCTTCAACAAGACCACTAATTGGCAAATAGTCAACCGATGAAACAAGAGTTCCATACAGAGGACCCACAACACGTGAAGTGAAATTCACAGACTTTCCTATGAACCAATAAACATTTCTAAATGACGAACATTCTAAATGAATCATTGAAACATTCTTATAATCAATACTTGGTGCTTTGAATACAATTGTCTCTGTACCAATTATTGTAATCTTTGTAGAAGAAACTGTTAAAGTTGAATTAAAGCAATAGACTCCTCCCTTTCTAATTACCATAGAATTTGCAAAGAATGATAGAGAATTTGATATGTAATAGTTGCATCTCAATAGATTTAACTCTTGAACTTTTTCTTTCATTTGTCGAAGCAATTCTATACCAATTGGTTGACTTGTATTTGTAATGATAGCATTTCCATTAGAAATGTATTCGTATTGACCTTGAGAAACATTCATTGATGGTATAGCTATACTTGCCATCAAAGGGGAATTAGTTTGCAAGTTGATTTTTACATTGATTTTCGACTCACTGATTAATTTGTATCCAGCAAAGTAATCATGAATGAAAAGTTCACAATTTGAACCATTATAACGAGTTACACATTCACAGATATCATAATCTAGACATTTTCCGTTTCCAGAACAAGCTAATGAAGAATTAGAAACCTCGCCAAAACATGTTGTCATTTCACACAAACTTCCCAAATAATTGCTATCACATGAACAGAGATCTGTAGAAGTACATGATCCGTGAGAGCTACATACAGAAGAAACGTTGCTAAATACCCCGTTACATGTAGTTACTTCACAAGTATTTCCATAGAAATTTGTATTGCATTCACAAGTGTCTATATCAATACAATTTCCATTTTTGGAGCAAGATAAACCAGAGGCCATTCCTATTCCAAAGCAATCATATTCCTGACAAATCTTACCATAATAACCTTCCATGCATGAACAATTGTTAAAATCTGTGCATTCACCATGTCCAGAGCAAACCAAAGAATCATTTGAACTGATTCCATCGCATGTGGTCAACTCACATAAATTTCCAAAGTATGTGTCACTGCAATTACAATAATCCAGCAATACACAATTTCCTCTATGGTTACACACCGTTTCATTGGTAGATATTATACCTTTGCAATATGTAAGTTCACATGAAAATCCCTCAAACCCTTCAAAACAAGTACAATTCTCAGCCATCGCACAAATTCCATTTCCATTACAAACAGTTGTGTCATTTGACAATACTCCACCACACAAGGTTTCAGAGCATGTCTCACCAAAATAGTTCAATTCGCAAAGGCAACTGTTTGTACTATGGCAAGAACCTCTTCCAGAGCAAACAGAACTGTCATTACTCGAAATACCATTACAATAGGAAATTTCACACATCGCTCCCTCATATCCTTCTTCACATTGACAAGAATCAATATCTAAGCATTGACCCCTTCCAGAACAAACTTTACTATTGTTCAAAGATAAACCGAAACAATTAAAAATTTCACATTCTTGTCCATAGTATCCTTGGGCACATTCACAATAATTGAAAGAAGAACAACTTCCTCTCATGGAACAAACTGATGTAGAGTTGGATTCTAATCCAAAACACGTGGTTGATTGACAGAATTCTCCATAATAATTATCTGTACAATTGCAAATATTAACATCAATACATTGACCTCTTTCTGGTTGAGTGCAATAACCAACCAATCCATTGCACGTTGGAATATCACAATTGGATCCTCCATAAAGAAATGATGCATCACAAGAGCAATTATTAAATTTCTCACATGAACCTCTTTGATTACAGGCATTTGGTGATAAATTTGAAATACCATCACAAGTTCTGAATTGACACCAAGTACCATTATTTCCATATTCACAAAGACAAGTATCTGTAGAGATACATTGACCATTTCCACTGCATGCATTCGATTCATTTCCAAGTACTCCATTACATTTGGAAATAGAACAATCGTGTCCATAACTTTCTGAAGGACACAAGCATGCGTCCAAGCCAACACATAATCCCCTTCCTCCACAAACGCTCGCCTCACTCGATAACACTCCAAAACAATAGGTACTTAAGCATTGTGCAGTAATATAGGTATCATATGGATTGAAAGTTATTGGCGGACTAAACACGAGATCAAAAACAATCAATTGAGTTCCTCCGACATACCAGATTGCTCCTTGGACATTGTGGTAAACCTCCAAGCTGTAATAAGGAGAGGCTCCTATCACTGTACCATGAATTGTTCCTGTGAAAAAGTTGCCATTCAATCCTCTATCAAATGTCAACCAGAAAAAGTTTCTGTAAGAGGCACATTCCAAGTAATAGAAAGTGGCTCCATAGTAGTAGACAAAAGGAGTTTTGATTACAACAGGTTCTGTACCAATCACTACAAAAGTATAAGATGAATCTATGGCCAATCCATTTGGAAAACAATACACTCCTCCATGTTTGAAAATTGCACTCTTATTAGATCCAAAAAATGGTTCCTGATTGGAAAAGGTAAAATCACATGGTTTCTCAATAATTTCTTGAGCTCTTTTTTCCATGGCTTGAACAATTTGATCACCTAAAGGGTTTGTATCGTGTGTGTAAGAAATTGATGCGTAAACTTCGTCATCTGCCAAAACAAATGGTTCTGGAGGTGTTGATACATAGGCTGTCGATAAAATCATTGATGGAAGAGCAATACTTGCAGAAAGAATGTTATTTGGAGCAGAGTTTCTTCCAATTACAACAGGTCTTGTACTAATGAGCTTGTAACCTGCTAAAATATCAACTTCACACAAATTCCCTTCAAATCCAGAAGGACATTCACATGTTTGATAGTCTGAGCATTTACCAACTCCTGAACAAGTAAACCTTGAATTGGATACAACCCCTCCACAAGATGTTAATTCACACAATTCACCAAAATAATTATTAGAGATGCACGAGCATTGATTAGGGCCAATGCACGAACCTCTCGAATTACAAGCAGTACTATTGGTATTCTCTACCTCTCCACATTTGAAAAGCTCACATTCTTCTCCATAAGCACCAGTGGAGCAGAGACAAGTATCTAACTGTGTGCAATTTCCTCTTGAAGAACAAACATTGCTCATATTGGAGAGTTTATCAAAACAGGTGCTAATTTCACATTCCATACCAGAATAGCCATCAGAGCATGAGCATGTATTGTTGTCGGTGCAGTTTCCTCGTGAGTTGCAAACATTGAAATGGTCTTGTTGGATGCCAAAACATGAAATGGAAATAGATTCAGATGAGGAATTGTTGGAAAGAGTGGTTTCATTATTAGATATTTGGGTGTTGTTGTTTTCAATAGACTCACAATTCAAACCTGAGTAACCTATTGAACAATTGCAAAAATCAAATTCAATACATGTACCAGAGCCAGAACATACTTCGCTCTCATTACTAAGTAATCCAAAACAAGATGTTATGGAACAATTTTCTCCAATGTAATTAATATCGCATTTACATGTATCTGGTCCAATACATTGACCGTGTTGGGAACAAGTCGTATTGAAATCATCAGGGTCCAGTCCATAACATTGATAGTTTTCACAGTCGGCACCAAAATATCCACTCTCACATATACACTCTGTTCCATTACTCTCCGAAGAACAATTGCCTCTACCAGAACAAACTTCAGTGATTGAAGAATTGTAAAAAGATGTTGTATCATTAGAACATGATATAGCAGAGACATTCCAATAATGATGAAGGTGTCTATCACTCAACATGAAGAAAAGAAGTTGTATCAATAGAAGAAGTGAAATGAGTCTATGTATCATTAGAGTAGACCTCCTCTCTGTGTATGAACATTGAGCAGTAGATGCCTGCATCTTCAGTGTAGTTCCGTATCCTTCAGTAGTATGAAGCATATTAAAAGAGAGGAACAACAGTTTGTTGGTGTTGTTGTTTTTTGTTATTTAATTCTTTGTTAGCAAACAAAGAGGAGGAGCTATGCTAAATCAGTCCCAAAATACAGGCTATTATATTGAGCATTCAGTTGGCATCTGTGCTACCTTATTGAACTTCTACAATAGATGAAGCTTGCTAATAAGCTCATTTTTCTGAGATCCTTTTCTGAAACATTGGATATACTTGTCGATATCATTGCACTTAATAGTACTTGTGAAGGAGCAAAATGAGATTAAGAGCAAGTATCGTCATATACAGAATTTAAATAAGGAAACGCAGATGGATCGTAATAATGAACGGGAGCAAACAATGGTCTTTTCTCTGAAACTCATTTTCCTCGATTTTGGTACCCAAGCCAAAATGCTCTGCTTCTAGGAGTGTCCCCCAAACAAGGGGAATGACTAAAGATTTCCTTACTTCCCAAGGCAGACGTCTGCCACTCGACCAGAAGATGATCTTCCTCCTGTGATGCTCTATTAATACCCATCTTTGAAAAATAGAATCTACATCCGGTTCAAGTTTGTGTTGCATCGTATCGAGAGAGTTGATTGGTCTCTCCAATTGTCCTCAAGGTATTACTCAACAAATAGGCTCAATATGGATCGGAATCAAGCAACTACAATCATTCTTAATATAGTTTATTTGAGATATTGTAGTCTTGACTTGTTAGCTTATTAATACTCAGAATTACTTCTTGTGGTTCTCTAATAGTTCAATATGATCGCTAAAGTTTGGGCCATCTAAACCTCTAGGAATCATCTTATTCGCAAATAATAATGTGGATCTAGATTTGATGAGGAAACAATCACCACCACGTATGCTTTGCACTGGAGGCTATCACTCAAACATTTTGAAAGCCAAATATCCTCATTCGAATAATTAAATATAACAGCCGAATTGTGTGAAGAAAGCAAAAAATTGGACCACACAATGAGCATTGTTCTGTGGATGATACCACCTTGTGGTAAAGTGAAAAACAAGCTAACAACAAGTGTAAATTCTTGTATTGTTGTGTTCCTAAAAATCATCATGTCCAACAATCAGATTATTGCTAATAAAGAAGATTTATTCGGATAATCACAAAATCTTCTCCAACACAGTATTCAGCAAGGTTTGTATTGGTTGCTTGTTGGTTTCATCCACCCAGACTTAAGCTCCTTCATTCGTTGGTGGTGTAAAACGATGGAGAATGTTCTTCTTGGTGAATTGTGGATATCAACCTTATAGACGTAAATCTAGCTTCGCATGACAAGGGAAAGTAATCTATTGTTACTGTGTTTAAACCTTTGGCTATCGTTAGTTTAAATCTTCTCCTCCATCACAAACCAATCCAAGTTTTCTCATTTTTTTTGTTGAATATTTAACGGTAACAATTAGCGGAGCGAAAATATTTACTGAGTGGTGAAGTTTCCTTTGCTTTTCTTCACAAAACGCAGAGTGCCATATTAAAAGTTGATCATGATTTTGAAGATTGGTGACTCAAGAGTATGATTAAATTGTATAATTTAATTACAATTAATTGTAATAATAAAATATTATTTCTATTTACCTTTAAAAAAATGTTTAAATGTGAATCCTTCAACATTTTTCTCCGAAACACTAGTACTATTTCCTTTGTTAAATAATGTAAATTTTCCAATTCAACAACATTAAAACAACAATATGTGGTAGCTGAGGAAAGTAATTGCAAATATTGTTTGATCGACAGTGAGCACTCACTACTTCGGAAGTCGATTCAACATCTCTCCAAGATTTGATAAACAAAATAATCAGAAGGCTTTCAAGACAATACAGTCCACATTCAACAGATTTACTCAAGCATTTAATAATATTCTATTTCTTCTGGCCAATTCCATTCCTCCTCTGTGAACACTGTCAATGTTTATTCAAAACTGGATTCCGATTTATTGCCCTTCCTTGCTTTCCTTAAAATTCTTGGTGGAGAATATTTATTGCAACTTGTCCTCTCAAAGAACAAATGTATCTGCCAAGTTATTATAATTCTTCAAACGCCTTTTCGAATTTTGACTCCATTCTGTACTTTCTCTTGCACTGTGCTCATAGATTTGTTGGAGAAATTAAGGTGTAGAAAGCAATTACTGGAGATTTATCCTGATATAATTACAATGTTATTGGAAATTTAACATTCTCATTTACTATAACGAACAAATCACTTCCAAACTCTTAATTGTCTGCTCTATAATATATGGTGGAGAGTATTGCAATCTGAAGAGTACACCGTTCCCAAACAGACCTCAATATATACAAATTCACAATATCCATACGTATTATTGGCACAATCCCAACCAGGACTGACCAGTAAAGATGTTGAAGGAGATGTTGTCTAACCAGAAACACAGCAGTGACTGCTTTAAGAAATTAATTTAAAATATGGCTTTTAGTTGCGAAAGATATTCTAGTGTTTTACCGTTTTGTGATTATAGATGTAAGTACCCTTGGCTCAATTGGAAGAGCATCGGCCTACGGAGCCGGGGGTTGTGGGTTCGAGTCCCACAGGGTATAACTTTTTAACTTTTGTAATTTTTCTTACTGGTGTAAGCACAACTAAATCTTCTCAAAAATCGTTTTATTAATCAAAATTATTAAAGAATGAAGACAATGAATCAGAGCACCAAAACTCATCTCGAACCAAACCTTCCTCAGGAGTTGATTCTAGGGTATTGTTAAAGTCAAATAAAAAGTCTAACTGTGAGAGTTCATCAAGGTTGGCACTGCTTGTGGCACATGTACTTGTTGTTGCTGATTTTTCATTGCATGTAGTATCCAGTGTTGGTTGCAACAATTTGTAATCAAATGAGGTATTGTTGTTGGAATAAGCCATCATTGACATCATGGATGGCATACTTGCAACAATATTAGGGTGAACATTCTCCACATCACCAAACTCTTTCTTTACAGTTATCAGCTTGTTCTTCTTCTTTGGAGAAACAAATGTTTGTTCTTCCTCTTCTTGTTTTACAATGTTTGGATGAATAGTCTTCAGTATGGCATGTATTGCTTCTTCATCTGAGGACGAAAAACTCTTGCATGCATCATCACTATGTTGTTCACTATCAGTGTCATTGCACTTTCTCTTCTTACTCTCGGTTGTGGTTCTCTTTGAATTTCTATCTTGAATGAGGAAGGATTCTATGGTTGTCCACTCAACACCATTCGAAGAGTCATCCCTATCTAAAAGTTGTATTCTAAATATTCCCTTTGTACCTCTATTTCCCTTGTTAATTGATACCTTGAGTTGAGCTCCAAACTCAACCTCTGATATCTTGCTCAAACTACACATTGTCTCTTTACTTAGAAGTGAGTTTCCATCTTGTGTCACAAGCATGGTACCATTAGTGGGATCTCTCAATTCAATCATACAATAGTATCGGTTAGGTTGGAATGAAAACTTGCTATTCTTCATAAATTTGATATTAATATCAAATTTTAAAACATTACTCTTCTTGATAACAGTGTTGGCTAAACTGCTTGTATCAATATTTGTTAATATTTGGTAGGAGAGAATACATGAGGAGAGGTTACTTGTCTTATCATGTTGTTGTTTGAATAAGACTTGATTGTGAAAGTCGATTGGTTTACGGTTAGGCATTCTGTTGTTGTAATGTACAAGATGTGTTTGTTGATTGGTCGGATGTGTTTTTTGTAAACTTGTGTGTTTAGCACCGGATGAACTATTAATAATGAAGGTTGCTTGGCCTTGAAGAGAATATTCGGTCAGGTGCTTGTTTGGTAGTGGAGGCAAGCTTTTTGCTGTTCGAGCTCTCAATCTTTTTTTTTGAATATAAAATAATAATATTTGTGATGAAGGTTGGTCGAGTTGCTTGCCACCTCCAAAATCGCAAAAATTTGTTGTACTTTCCACTCGAGCTGATTTTCAGCGGTTCATTCTCTGTTCAGGCTCGCTTGGATTTTGTGCTTAAAAATTTTTTTAGGTCGTGGCATTTTTAGAAGTTCCGCCATGAGCGGGAAAGCTAGTTTGACGTTTACAATGGGAATACTAAATTTTTGGTAACTTTGATTTTTCACTTTACAATGAAAAATTTTTATTTAGGGATTGTGTTACATCTTTTGAAGGCAACTACAGTAAAATTATACAATGGCAAGTTGGGAAACTGCCTATATTTAAGTTTGGCTTGTGATTTTTGGTGCTTCTAGCAGAGTTTGAGGGAAAATGCGATTTTCTTTATTCTGAGCCTATTTTTCATTGTGATAGTGAGGTAACGATCAAAATTCGAACGCCTCTGAAAATACTATACCTCAAATAGTTTCTACTGATGTAAAGTCAATAATTGTGGTTAAAAAAGAGAAAGAAAGCGTTACATTTGTATTTTATGGCTATTTCTGTTATTTACTATCTATTGCACATTTTTAATGCAATAATGTGAAGCAGGGGTTCCCGAGTGGTCAAAGGGGGTAGACTCAAGTTCTACTGCGCAAGCTTCGTGGGTTCAAATCCCACCTTCTGCAACTTTTTATTTTTCGATTACTTAATGAAATTGCTATTTTTTCTATTTTCTGGTAGTATTTGATTTATACTACATAATTGGAGAGAGTCTATCTGTTACAATATATATTTGTTCGAAAAATAGCCTCGGATTGAAAACTTTCATTTTTAGCACAAATATTTAATAAAAAAATGCAAACTCAACTATTGGAAACCTTGGAAAGCAACATTTCACACGAGCAAACCATCATACAAAGAACACAATCCTATCAAATTATTGGCTTTCTCGGATTTACATGTGCAATCTCTCTCTTCAAGTTTGGAAGAAACAAAAAATTAACAACACCACTAGCAGCTGTCTTGTTCCCTTCCTCTTGTTATCTATTTGGATATAATACAGTTTTGAGAAGGAAAACAAATAGAAAATTGGAAAAGTATTCGGAAATTTATGAAAATGTGAAAAATTCTTCTGAAATGAGTAAACAAGAAGGAAAACAAATTTTGGAATTAATGAAATCTATTCGAATTTCCAAATAATTAATTCATTATTCAATGGAAGGTGTGAATTTCATACCTTGTTCAGATTCACTTTTGGATTCGTCTACCCGTTCTAATTCTACTACGATCTTCCATCAAAATTACACAATGACCCATTTCTACATGTTTTTTCAATTGATATTCCTCATGAACTTCATAGACATTCTCCTTACACACATTGCAATATCTGTAACCATTTAGACTATCACTCATTGAATCAATTTTTAGTGGACATTCGTATTCCCATTCACAATTTTCTATAAATTCACGTTTGTAATCTATTGGGGAATACAATGTTTTGGACTTGGATAATGGCAACGAGTTTGGAGAATGAATTTGTAAATGGATGATTCGTCTACGGAGAATGTGCATCCAATTTTTCACATTTAGAGTTTTGGAATAATTGGAAAAGTAGAATAGAACTAGGGGTTTCCAAATGATTGTTTGAGTTGGTTGAAATGTTTCATCATTTTCATTGTAAACATCTTTGATGGAAACTATTCTTGAAGACATGTTCATCTCTTCAAGTGGTGAAATATCATCAATTGCATCATTGGCACGAACTTTGGAGAAGAATCGAAATAGTGGCATTTTTTTATTAGAGGTGTTTCATATGATTGTCGATGCCGTTTCTATTGTGAAATTCCACACTTTTTATTTTACAGGAATAGTTTTGAATTTTCATTTACAAGTTAGTTTGGATTCCACCAAAAGGAAAACTACAGAAATTGTTATAGAGGTCAAGAATCAAACCAGGAGTACCAGGAGTGAAAATTGCTTCAACCGTGTCATTGATTGTCCGCCCTCTGTGTGAAACCTCATCCAAACAAACATCAGCATCCTCAAATAATAAATGCTCATGCACATTACATGAAAATGCATCCGCACGCTTTATGCACTATTTCTACTCTCAATAAAACGTTTCAACTCTCTTCCGAAAATCAACAGAATAACAACAATAAGAAAAAAACAATTTAATAATATTAAAGAGAAAATGGTCGTTGAAATTGCTTACTTTGCTGGTCCTGGTCGTGCCGAAGTTTTAAAGTTAATTGCTGAAGTTGGTCAAGTTGAATACACCTTCAAGGGTATTCCTCGTGAAGAATGGCCAAATCACAAGGTAACCTGTAGATATGGACAACTTCCTTACCTGAAGATTAATGATGAAACAACCTTGTATCAAACCATTGCTATTGCTAGATATTTGGCTCAAGAAGGTGGTCTCTATCCAACTGACCGTCTCGAAGCCAGTGCCAGTGAAGAATATGTTGCTGCCATTGATGATATCATTGCTGGTTTTGTTAGAATTTTCTTCAGAACCCCAGAAGAAAAGAGAGAAGAAGAATTGAAAGCCTTTTCCGAAGGTATTTTGAAGACTACTTTGGTTGCTTTTGAAAAGGTTTTGGAAAAGAATGAAGGAAACTTGGTTAAGGGAAAGCTTACTTGGGCTGATTTGGTATTGTATGATATTGTCGTTAATATTCAATCTAAGGGAGCTGATATTTCCTATGCTCAAAATGTTCTCAAATTGAAGGAAACTGTCGCTGCTCACGAGAGAGTTAAGGCATTCTTGGAATCTGATAGAAATTTGAGAAAGCAACAATAAATTGTTTACATAACTATTAATAATATAATTGATTGATTCAATAATTATCTATTTTTAATGCATTATTGTTCACCATAATGATGATGAGATATCTATCGTTCTTGTCCTTAATAATCACCGTAATCCAAAAAGAATTGAATTAGAGTTAGGTGCACCTCAAAAATCCTACAATTACCGCTGCTCCTCAATACTCCTCGATACTCCTTATCTTGTTGCTTATCTTCTCTGAACAATAATAACATTTCATTTATTAAAAAACAACAAACAACAATAGTATGGATCCATCCAATTTACTGGAAGAAGAGACAACACCAACTCAGAGAAGGAAATCGGCTGTCGAAACTTCATCCCTCAAAAAGTCAACCATTTCAGCTCTAGTACTAATCGTTACTGGAGTTGCTTGCTTGGTTATCGCCATTGGCTTTTTATTGGTCAATTACTTGTTGGATGGTAAGTCACTCCATCCTTATAGGGTTTTCTAATTAATAACTATATATTGTGCTAATTCTTCATCTCTATTAAGATAAGAGAAAATATCAACTTTCAACTTGGACAAAATATAATGATAAAAACATTATGAATCATGTCATGGAATTGTTAGGAGTTTAAATTATCATTTCCAAAAAATTGAACTCTCTCCAAATAGAAATCTATGGAAGCCAATTGTTAGAGAACTTTTATATCAACTCAAAACTGCTCCTTTAGCCGTCCACAAGATTAGTTTTGCCTCAAAGGACGATTATTACCTTGCATTAGAATGGAATTTTGTTACCAACAAATACTCACTTGAATATTATCAAAACGGTCAATTATTCACCTCAGTTGATGTTGATTTGGAAGGAAATTATGTCTTGCCAGAAAAGGGTGCATTTACTCCTTCCTCACTGAATGATTTGGTATTTTGGAATTCTTACACACAAGCACCAAATTCCCAAAAGTGGAACTTTAAAGCCAACGAAGAATATTTGGACGTAACTGCCAGCACTGGTTTCTATGCAGAAAATGGAAGATTGAATTACTTGATTACTGTCACTTATTACTCCAAAGGCTTTTCCAAAGTCATTAATGTACCACAAACACTTAATTCTAAATACTATTTGATAACTCCAGATTTGAATATGATTGAGGCGTATGATGAAAGTCCAATTGGCAAGAATAAGTTTGGAATTGGAAGAAAATCATTGCTTAACAGTGATAATACTGATGTTAGAGAATTGGGCAAGTATATGCTCTCATCTCAACATGTTGAAAAATGGTTCTACCAAAAGTTTACTGCAGATGACAGTGGCAGAGATTATTATGTAAAGGTGGAAACTTTGGATAATTCATGGTGGTTGGTGCACACGATCGCTGTTGATGATTATGAATATGACCTTGTCAAGTATTTCACTGTAGTTGTCTTTTTGATATCAGTTGTTGCTGCCTTTGTGTTGATGTGTCTATTTGGAGTTCAATTTAATGTTTACAAGACTCATGTTGCAAAGAAATAAACATCTTTGTTTGTTTGGAAAGCTTCTCTATTTCCAATCATTGCAAGATTCAATTCAAGAACCACCTTTGAAAACTGGAAATATTAAAAACAAGTTTAGTGACTAATATTAATTCTAATGACAATGTTTGGCAATGAATTGGCGTCAAGCTTTAGTGATAGAATTGTTAGTTTCCTGTTGTGTGCGAAAAGGTTAATGGGATTGAGTTACAGATTCAGTAATTTGTCAGCTCAAATATGATTTGAAAATTCTATTTTAATGGTCATGTTCTAATCCATTTTAATTGACAATTCTTTTTCCAATTCCTTTCCAAATTCAGAGTGAAATCTATAAAAACTGTCGAGCATGTTGTGTTCACACACTTGTTGAATTTCATTGAAAATTGAAATTGAGATGATGCTTTCCAAATTGGTTCCGTTCATTGAATTGTAGATTTCTATAATTTCTGGAATACCATTTGTAGATCGAGCAATGTTCAATTCGAGAGGAGCTCCCAATATTACATAGGTCTTTACAATTGTTCTGAATAATTCGACTCGTTTCTTATTCGATTTGATCATTTTGAATTGTTCAATGGCATTCCACATCATGACATCTTCAGGACAATAACTCTTTTCATTGAATAAAAGGAATTTTGAATTCCACTTTTTAGAGGTCAAACATTTCTTGATGTGATTCGAAGAGTTTCCTCCAGAACTTTGAGAATCTCTTGGTTTTGAAGAGGAGGTACTTCTTTGATAGATAAAAACTGGAAGGAAATGAGCTACAAATGTATCCCATATACATCCAAATACAATAAACATTTGCCATGGAAAGAAATAGTCAACTCTTTACAATAAATGTTAACTATTTAAAAACTACTAAAAGGTAACTTACAAAGTATTAATATCAGTAAAGAATGAAGGTATGGCATACAATAAACTTGATAACAACCATCCTACACAAATTAAAAACAGCTCCAACTTAATTTTCCACACATCATTCTTCATAAACAGAGCTAGCACAAATAATCCAAAAATAATCAACACATAAACTCCAAAATGAATTGCCATAATCACCAAATCAAGTGTTCCATTTCCACATCCTTCCACCGAAAGTAAATGAGTGCCCCGAACGAACGAAGATACTGAGCTATTCAATCTATCTGTTTCAGCAATAATGGCATTGTAATAATCTGCAACTCCAACTGAAAAGTAAATTATCAAGTGAATTCCATAAACAACCAGGAAGAGTAATCCAATGAATTTGGAGCTTGTGAAAAATCGATAGATTCTCAATTTTTGTTTGTCAAATTTGGAAGAACTCAATCTTGATATTTCTTGGCTGTTTGTAGAATTTTTGGAGGTTTTTCTTTTAGGAATTTCTACTTGGATGTGTGAATCAGCATTGGTTTGTTTAGTTTCAAGCTGTGAATTAGAATCAGTAGTAGTTTCTTCTTGATTATTCACCAAAGCAAGTGAACTAAACGATTGTGAAATGGAAACTCCACTCAAACTCTGCAGCTCCACACTATTTCCATTATTTCCACTCGATCCTTCCACCATAAAACTACTTAGATCATTCAACTCCATGCTTTGGCTCAATAACTTTCGTTTTCCAATTTTCACTTTCAATTGATTCATCCAAGTCAAGGCAATCAATCGAACACATCTCCCAATGATAATGGCAGCCAATCCAGGCACTGCCATCCAATAGGTGAAGGTAAATAGAAAGCACGGATAGGTCTTTCTGGAAATGACAACTCTCAACAGCTGAATTAATACGAAAGCATACGAAGTTAAAGTTCCCAGAACCATCAGAGCAGGATTTCTGGCAATGGATATGTAGTTAACCTCCTTGTTGCCTATTCTGTTGGTTTTTAGTTTCCATTGTTTGTAGAAGAGGCCAATTAGACAGGCAATTACCATCACTGTGTAGAACCCAAGAAATAAACCAGCCGAAACTCGACTTGTGGGATAATCATCACATAATCCTCGATAACTCGTGTAGCCCATTTCAAGGAGAATAGGATGACATGCGGCTGATGTATCATTGATAGAAGAAATAGAATAGTTCATGATAGAACCTGTGTGAATTTTTTTTCAAGTTTCGGATAATCAAATCATGGATGATTAACGTTAACAAAGACAGCAAGGGCTTCCGTAAGAGGCAAGGGCTATTAAGTTCCAATTCCAGAAATTGTAAAAAGTGAAATATTTACCATTAATATTTTTACTTTCAAAATTAAAATATTAATTTCCGTTTCTTCTGATTATTATATGTATTAAGAATCGTTTGAGTCTCTATATATCTTCAAATTTAATTCCCAATTCTTGTTCCAATTCCTTTCTAAATTCAGAGTGAAATCTCAGAAAACTATCAACCATGTTGTGTTCGCAAACCTGCTGAATTTCATTGAAAATTGAAATGGAAATTGAGATGCTTTCCAAATTGGTTTCGTTAATCGAGTTGCAGAGTTCTATAATTTCTGGAATACCATTTGTAGATCGAGCAATGTTCAATTCGAGAGGAGCTCCAATCAAAATGTAGGTTCTCACAATAGTTCTGAATAATTCGACTCGTTTCTTATTCGATTTGATCATTTTGAATTGTTCAATGGCATTCCACATCATGACATCTTCAGGACAATAACTCTTTTCATTGAATAAAAGGAATTTTGAATTCCACTTTTTGGAAGTTAAACACTTCTTGATGTGATTTGAAGAGTTTCCTCCAGAACTTTGAGAATCTCTTGGTTTTGATGAATTTCTATTCCTCTGATAGACAAAAACTGGAAGGAAATGAGCTACAAATGTATCCCATATACATCCAAATATAAGGAATAATTGCCATGGAAAGAAATAGTCAACTCTAATTCACAATTATTTGCAAATCAAATTTCAATTACAATATTTCTTCTTCCAATTTAATGGATGTAACTACTTACAATGTAGTAATATCACTAAAGAATGAAGGAACAGCATAGGTAATTGTCGACAACAACCATCCCACACAAATCAATGACAATTCCCATTTGATTTTCCACACATCATTCTTCATAAACAGAGCTACAATCACAAATCCCAACAAGAGTATCAAATAAGCTCCAAAATACGTGGCCATCACCACCAAATTATAAGTTCCATTTCCACATCCCTGCTCTGATAACAAATGAGTTCCCACCACAAAGGACAACTTTTTGTTTTGTAACTTTTCCAATGAACCTGATTGGACATTGAAATAATCAGCAACTCCAACTGAAAAGTAAATGATCAGATGGGTTCCATAGATCAGTGCAAATAGAATAGCAATGAATTTTGAGCTGGTAAAAAATCGATACATTCTCAATTTTTGCTTGTCGAATCTGGAAGATCCCAATCGAATAATTTCTTCACTATTTTCAGAGTTTCTCTTGTTGTTTGCTGTTTCATTATTTGATCTAGTCACTATACTTTCGTCCTTCTTTTCTTTCTGTTCTGAACTACTTTCCACATTTGTTGCTGGGCCAAGATCTTGTTGATCTTCATTCATCAAGGCCCCAATCGAACTAAACGATTGTGAAATGGAAACTCCACTCAAACTCTGCAGCTCCACATTACTTGCACTCATCAATTCTACTCGATTCTCATCCATCAATAAACTCCTACTCTCCGTATTCTCCAACATGAAACTCTGACTCAATAACTTTCGTTTTCCAATTTTCACTTTCAATTGATTCATCCAAGTCAAGGCAACCAATCGAACACATCTCCCAAGAATAATGGCAGCCAATCCAGGCACACCCATCCAATAAGTGAATGAAAACATGAAACAGGGAAATAATTTCCTCGAAATGACAACTCTCAACAATTGAACTAGTGTGAAAATGTACGAGGTGATAGTTCCCAAGACCATTAGTGTTGGATTTCTTGCGATGGATATGTAATTCACCTCTCTGTGTCCTATCCTATTAGTTTTTAATTTCCATTGTTTGTAGAATTGACCAATTAAACTGGCAATCACCAGAGCTGTGTACAATCCGAGTGTCAGAGCTGCCAAAACTCTACTCGTTGGATAGTCATCACATAATCCTCGATAGTTTGTGTAGCCCATGCGAAGGAGTGCTGGATGACACGCAGCCGAAGTGTCATTTATTGCATAAATTGATGTGTAGTTCATTTTGGCTTTCAATTTTTTTTTGCATGAGACTTTCTGCCACTCGATGATTGTTGACAGTTTAAAGGTTTCTTGAAGAGGCAACAGGATACAAATAGATGAAAGCCAAATCGCAAAGTTCATTCTGAATCAAAACTAAAACCACTGTCCATTCAAACCAAAAATCCATCTATTTCGAATAAAACAATTGTATAAATATCAAGTTTCACCTTTCAATATTTTCTTCAATCCAGCGCACCACACTCTTTCCATTATTATTCACCCAAATACCACCACTACAGCTTCTAAGTCCAAAAAGTAATTTACAGTAAATTCACAAATATCTACAGTACATTTAACTACCCACCTCAATTCAGAATATGAAACATACGCACGTTATTATACTGTAGTAACCACGTTGCTCTTATTTATATAATAGATTATCGCAGTGCAAATCAATATCAGATATTATCAAAACAATCATTATAATTAATACAGGCAATATATCGCTCTCAAAGTTCATTGACCATTAATTGATGATTGAGGTTGTCAAGTCGTTGTTGGCACCTCTGTGATTATTTACTGTGAATACTTTGTGTTACTTTTAAATTGTGTTATAATTGAAAGTAGGAAGGAATTAAGGAATTAAGGATTCTTTCATCAGTTTGAATTTACAATGATGCTTTCGCTTAATCCAATCAAAAAGAAAATTGAAATATATGGGTAGTCGTCGGACCATTCACATGAATGTCAAAACACCAATTTCAAGTGTTACTGGTTGAACGGTTGCAACGAAACCTAGAAAAATTCGCCATAATTAAAGATGTGGAAAATTTGGCTTTGAAAGTGTCGAGTTTCAATATATTAAAAAGGAAGAGATGTGGACACGGCACTGTATCCAAGATACAATGAATGTGCAAACCAAACTCGTGAATTTTTGATTGTTTTTTAAGTTTTCAAGGATAGAAAATTCTGAATACTTGTTAATCAATACATATTGAACAACATTAAGGACATACACTAGTCAGGTCTGAAAAGAGCTCAACAAGCCCAAAAGAAGATTATAAGGTCCCTGAAAGAGCTTACTCGCTTAATGAACTAATAAGGATAATGAGTGTTTCGGATACTCGAACTCAGGCAAGCTGTGCTTAACAGTTACTTTTTAGAGACGAGTAATATAAGAAGAACAAACTGCTTGTTACGATGGTTTAAAAAGTGAATATTGAAAACCAGTAATACAATTAGAAAGAATTACTTCTTCCCCATGAGAATAAGAATTAGAAGCAATCTCGATATTGATATTAACAACAAAATGATGTAGGGACATAAAATGGTACATTGCCTGTTTAAGAACATCCTTATAGAATCCGCTTCACTGAAGAAAAAGTTGTCTAGATTAAGCTAGTAGATTCCCTTAATCAAATATCTCAAAACACCCTCCCCATTTAATCTACATTCTCTACAAATAAAGAAATCGTTTAAGCACATTGATGAGAATCACAGCGCTTGCGCATAGCACAATAAACACTTCATACACACGTGTGTGGAGGAAGAAAAGGTCGTGCCATTCTATCACAAATTCTTCCTCCATGTTGCTCCTCCACAAACATCTCACCAACCAACAAAACCTTAAAAAAAGCATCAACAAACAACAGTTTTAGACTGCTAGTTCTGTTCAGAATTAAACAAGGGAAGAATCAGTTCAATATTCACAAACCTTTTGGCAAACACTAGTATCACCAATACATACACACATTTTGAGAGTATGGGATCCAATACTTCATCCACAGTTAATCAAACCTCGCAAAAAGTCAGAGATGTCCTCCTCCATAGTCCTGTCAATAAGAAGAATAGAGTTACCAACTCTTCTGCTAGTGCTCAAATGAGTAGGTCCTCTCCAACACTCACATTGGAAGGAAGAGTGCTGAAACCATGTTTAAAGAAGAATACAAACTTGATACAGAATGCCTCACTTCCAGTCATTTCCTCTCCATCCAACAATAACAGAAAGGCACTCTATAAGAGTGTCAGTTCTGACAATTTCACCACCAATGATGAAACAATGACTGCACCAGCTGTTGATATTGAATGTGAATCGACATGTTCTTCATCCTCCTCTTCAAGCTCTGATGAGCAACAAGTTAAAACAGCATTGAACACTGTTGCCAATGCCCAACAGCTAAATATGAATCCAACAGATATTACCAAATCAGGTCCGCCCAATTCCTCAATTTCCTCTTCTCATGCCAATAGAAAACAGCTCCAATTAGCTCCAATTATTCTCTCGCCTTCAAATTCCTCATCTTCCTCCTCTCCTAGCCAAAGAGTTCAGTTTGCTGATACAAGACGTTCTGGATCATTCTCCTCACTCACCTATACAAATTATATGAATTCCATGGATTCAAAGTTGAGAAACTCTCCATCCTCTTCACCAGCCAATTCTCCAAGAAGATTTTCTAGTTCTTCAGCTCCTTCTAATTCTCCTCGTTCTGCAACTTCAACAAGCATCAGCAGTGGAAGAAAGAAGTTAACAATTAGTACTCCTTCTTCACCTTCAAGCTCTTCTTCATCTAACGGTTCTCCTACTCATCATGTGAGTAATGTAAAGTTTCAATCAACATCCAATTCATCTTCTCCTTCAACACCATCCTCTAGACCAATGTCCCTTTTTGAAATGTATAACAACTGCAATAGTAATTCACCTAAATCTCCATCAAGAAGTGACTCTTTCAGAACACACAAGGATTTCAGTTCGAGCAAATCCGATTCAAAGAGCATGAAGAATCTTTATGCCTCAAGATTTGGTTCGATATTCAATCCTTCTCTCAATACTGCTATTCAAATTCCATTGTTGAGTGTTACTCAGCCAGACGCTCCACCTTCCTATGTTTATTATCCAAAGACTAATAGATCAACTCAATACTTGGATGTTCGATAAATTTAATGTATATAACATGGATATTAAACCCTATAGTTTCGAGATTTTTGAATAAATAATGAAATGCTTTATTGATAATTGATATTGTTGTGTTTCTATGAGTAGCATTGTCTGATTGTATTGATGATATCAAAACCTTAATATTATTCAACGTGAATATTGAACAGAAATATTTCAGTTATTCTAGAATGCATTGCGAAATGACCAAATTCAAACCATTCATATCTATTAATTGACGATTCTCTTTGAAAACACTGTCCATGACTTAATATGAAGTGTATTGTCTTTTTTAATGCCAAATTAATCGTATTGGGTCCAATACACTACAATTATTGCTGTATCTTATGGTTGTTCTAATATTCAAGGTCGCGAACAGTACATGGACTTTTGGATGAACAAATAAAAGAACTGCTCCACTTGTTTGGTGGAGAATCCCTCAAGATAATTCTCCACAACAACGTTCCAATAAATCCCAACAATACTGTGTCCAAATCCACAAACAAGGATACATCTTCTCCTGTTTGGTCACACTACTTCCAAATTCTGTCCAACATCTCAATAAAGAGCAAATTATTCAAATGTGCAAGAAGGTTTTCCACAACCAATTACGAACATGTTCTCAAATATAATGCTTCTTCTGTATTTGAATAATGTAATCCTAATAATTATCTTTGTTCTTAAATATGTCCAACAACCAATAGATTCTATAGCTAATCATCATTATCTTTGAATCCAATCAATTGATGCATAAAGAATCGTGATACCTCCTCAATTTCAAAAATAAAAGACAAATGGTTCTTCCACAATCTTTTGCTTCTTATCCCCAATTACAGAGGTTGCATTCATGTAAATTCTATCTGACTGCTCCTCATGGTAGTAACCTCTCGAATCGTGATTGTGTCCAAAAATGTGAACTCTTAATTGTTTAAAATAGTCAGAATCCAACAAGGTAGTCAACTCTTCAGATCCTCTCGAAGTCACACCATCATAGATAATATCCAGTGAATTCTTATTGGCTGGTGTGTGGGTCAGTAAAATGTCAATATCGTGTGGAATGAAGAATTTTGTCTTTTTTACAGAGTCCTTCTTGAGGGGTGGAAATTTCCATGCATCTCTGAATCTGCTTCCATAAATTTTAATATTGTGTCCATGGTTATCAGGAATGGATATGGTTTCGTCTAGAAGGAGATGAATTTGAGATTTTGTCTTTTTATCTCGAAAATGTTTTTTGAAATGTCTACCAACAACAATATCAGGAGCCCATTCATGATTACCTATTTAATATTTAATAATTATTTAATAAATATTTAATAAATATGTAATTTTCATTACAAATAATATTTAAAATAACATTTAATATTAAAAAGAATCAATCTACATACCAACAATCATTAAAATATATTTAAATCTTCCATCGCAATTCTTTGTAATATATTCAAAGAAATTATTAACCTCCTCTGCAGTTCCTCTATTCGTAAAGTCTCCACAATGAATCAAGACATCACCATCAGGAATTTTCAATAATTCATGAAGATTGTGAGTATCGGAAATGACTACAAACTTTAACCTTCCTCCATTATCATGATTATTTTCCTCATCATGATGATAATAATTATTTTCTCCTTCGTGATGATGATTCTTCTTTCTTGAAGGCACTTTAACAACTTTACCAACAACGTTAGCTTCCGATAGCATGTTTGTTTTTTTAGAATGTTAGTTCCAGAAAACTTCATTCTAATAATAAGTTTAAATTAATTACATCATCAATTATTATTATTATTTATTGTGATGATATGTTATCATTCTTATTAAAAACCGTACTCCTCATCGTTTAAAAAAAAACATAAATATTGAAATATTTTTAAGGTCGCTGCCTTAGTTCATCTCCATCATCAATTCGATCGTTAGTTTGACGAGAATTGGATTGCTAACATCAATAGACCGCCATCAATATTGGTGTTAATTCTATTGTTGAATTTTTGAGGACGTTAGAAAATATAATAATCAGTTTGGGAGATTATTGTTATTCTATAGAGAGAATATTAAGTAGTTTTAAACGACGACCAAATAACAATATATATTGTATAACAATGGAGAGAAATGTCGTGATGATTGCCCAACTGGGCCTCATTGCAATTTTATTCTTTAGTTTTGTGAGTGCGGAACTTGAATGTGATTGTGAGAAGATGTTTGCTCCAGTTAGATTACCTGCTAAGCATAATGACACAGAATGTGAGCAGTGGGGTTATCTTCCTTCAACATCGAATGGAACACTTCTTGTAAATCATACATTGAATCAAAATATAACTTGGTCAAGCAATTCAACAGAATCACAAAATAATTCAACAACTTCATCATCGAAAATACCTACCATACCTGCCAATAATAATAACTCAACAAGATCGAAAACAGAGGGAAATACTACTCTTGTAGAAACAATGGATCAAGTTCTCAATGGAAAAGGGAAACAAGCTCAAGCTGGAGTTGCAACAGATAAAGGAGCTGATCCAGGGATGATTGCAGGTATTGTAATTGGATGTATTGCTGCTTTAGTCATCCTGGTGATATTTACATTAATGATTATAGGAGTGATTATATTCAAATCCAAGTACAAGACTGCCTATTACTTTGTCCATGATGTCAGTGGTAAGAAGAGTGTAAGTATCAGACCCTTTTTAATCTTTATTCTTAAATGATTTATTTTCAATTATTTTAAATTACTGAAATAGTTTGCTGATGAAACAGCAGATATTATGAGAGAAACAGAAGAAGAATTCTCAAGTCATTTCACAGAGAGAAATGATAATGAGAGTGACACTAATAGTGAAAGAGGAATCGATTTGGGTGAAATGTCTGATGATGAAATTAGTGAAATTGTTGACTTTTCTAATGACAAGTTTGAATATTAACTTATAAATCTCAATTTGTTTATAAATTATTTGAATCTGAAATTAAAAGTGGAGAAATATTATCCATTATGGATTCGATTGATTCTAAAGATTTCTTCAATTCTTTTGAATCTTTCATTTTCCTTTTGAGATTGAGATGTTTTTCTCTCATCACTTCCAGTTTTTCCTTCAGTTTTGCAATCTTTTCCTCGTTTTGTTGAGATGACTTTTTCAGTTGATCATTTTCTGATTGTTGAGAAGAGAGCTCACTCATCAAGTCTCGTATCATGGTTTGGTCTTCTCTACTTTCTCTACTTTCTGTTGTGTTAGTATTGCTAGTGTTGAAATTTTGTTGTTGGGAAATGATTGGTTTTGTTGGACTAGCTTTAGATGCTGGTTGGTAGTCTCTAAATTCAGTTCCACTCCTCAGTTTAACAATGGAGCATGAAAAAGTATTGTACAATTCTGAAAGTCCCTTATTGGACGAAGTTTCATCAAAATCCATGAATGGGAAGAGCCACTTTTTCAAAACAACGGCCATTGACTGAAGACTTCTCGTAAAGATAACACTCGCACCATGAGGAAGATCATCAGTCTCCCTAGGATGTGAATCTGCCAACAAGAACATTCCAGTCTTGAAATTGTAAAAGATCAATACTGTTTCTGGTTGTTTTGTAAATATGGCACATAGTGGTCTCCTCATTTGATGAGAACAGCTCTCAATTGTTTCCAGAGTTGTGAGAAACGATGGGCCTTTGACTGATTTTTGAATTTCTGGATGCACTAGCTCTAGATAACTACTCATTCTATTATTGATATTCATTACTTCCTCAAAAGACAAGTTTCCAAGTCGAGGATCTTGCATGCATCCACACTCAATTACCTTGTCAATAGTGGTGGGACTCCAAGAGAATGATCTCTCAGAATCCAACACTCCGTTCAACAGTTGAATAGCAAATTCACATGCTATTGAAGTACAAGCATTCTTTCCCCCAAATGAGTACTGGTCCTTACTACTCACTACAACTGCAATGTGTTCAATCTTTAATCCTGTTGTGGTTGCATCTACATGTCTGTAATGGGTTGAAAATAGAGCAAGACTTGCTTGTTTCGAATTGTTTTTTCCACTTTGAGATTCTTCAAATTTCTCACTACAAACACTCGATCCATAAACATGATCTAAAAAGATGGAATAATTTGTATAGATTTCTCCACAAATTGGGCAAGTGTTTTGTGTTGGAGAGGGAGTTTGTTTTGAGTACATTCCTTGTGATGAGGGTGGTTTGGTTGGTGAAATTGTTGGAAGTGAGGCTCCCCTACTAAATTGTGACTGTTTGATAGGGGAGATGTGATGAATGGGCGAAGAAGAGTAATCGTACAAATCTGTAGAGTGTGTAGCATGTCCTGTATCACTAATTCCACTCAAATCCAAATCCGAAGCATGCAGCGATTCAAATGAATCCTTATATGAATTTGATCTCATCTCCAATTTTTAAATTCCGATAGAATCAAAATTCTTCAATCAAATCACAATTAAATAGTAGTAATAAATATGAGGTTTTCTAAAAGGTCGTGAATAAACCTCTCCGCGGTATGTTTTCTTATTTTTTTACTAATATTTTTTTGTAGAATTTTTGGCGCCATATTTTTTAAATCTCTTCTCGTGAGGATCATCACTACTTTGTGATATTAAGCCATCTTTTTCATTGATCAAAATATTAAAATTAATTTTCATCAAAATAATCGCTCTCGAATTCTCAACCATCTTAAAATCCATCTAACTTCATGACAAAATCCATCTAACCTCATATCGATTCAATTTAATAAAATAGCAATATATAATTCGATAAAAAACATTTTATACCAATAGTGTGATGATTAAAAAAAATTGGGTTGCAAATTTGCAAAAAATTTTATTTATTGCAAAGTACCAGCATTAACCAATGAATCAGCAACACCCTTCAAGAATGAGTAAGCATTTGGATTCTTGTGTGGTTCTCCGAATAACCCTACAATGACAGCTGACTTTAAGACAACTCCTGATACTCCTTGCTTCTTTGTTGAAGAAAAGCCTTGGAAGTTTTCTTCATCAGCAACCAAACCCATATATTTGACACCACCCAAAGTGATACCAGTAGCAGGGACGGAAGATGGATTAGCAACTTGACCAGCCAAATTCTTGGCTTCTTGAGCAGTAACAGCCCATCCGTCAGTAACACCCCAGATGGTACCATCTCTACCCATGATAAAACCCTTTTGGATCAAACCATTTGATGGAGCAACGAATTGAGAGTCAACGAAAGGAGTCCAAGACATTTTGTTGTTGTATTTTTTTTTATGTTTTAATATTTGATTGATTGGCTTGAATATTTGACGTGTTTTTGCTTGGTTGACCATAAGCTTGTCAAGTTAAAAACCTGTCCATCAATTAATACAAAATGCTTCCGTCACCAGACAAAACTCGTCAATCTTGAAGATTGTAAAAATAATGATTCGATTCCGCGATTAAAAAGCTTAAAATTTTGACAGGTTTTGTCAGTTAGAAAGAAAATGCTTATTGATTGGTTTCACACTACTCACAAGACTGTATTGAAATAGATTAATTCATTGAAAAGAAAATGTCCAAACTCTAATCAAGTTCCATTCAAGAAATACTATTGAAATTGACCAAGTTCTATATTTTTACAAAATACCAAAAGAGACGAATTGCCCAATCAGTCTATATGCAGGAATTTTATGGATTTGGATAATTGTGTTGAGGTCTAGGATTGTAGACTAGTTGAATAGGATACAATGCTGGAAGTGATCATTATTCCTTGATGGGCTGCTTTACAATTTTAAAAAACTTGAGCACTGATAAGGAATGTTGCAATTTTTCATCAACAGAGTAATGCAATATTCCCTTCTTGCATTTCCTTTGGCTAATCTTGTAAAAGTTTGAAATGGAACAATACTTTGAATATGAAAGTAATTCCTTGGTGAAAATGGATAACAAAAATATGCTTGTTCATATTCAAGGATATCGAATCAAAGGAAAAATAGTCTTACTTAATACTTGGCAATAGACGAGTGTGAGGAAAGGAATGAAATGTTCCCTTAGGGTCTGTTCAAGATGGACTCAACAATCGGTGAGTTAAAAGAGGAGAATTTGCAATTCTTCTCCCAAATTGTTGTGGATTTTTATCATAAAAATCATAAGGCAGTTGTAAAACAAGGCATTGTGACAGATAAAAAGCCAATTGTGAAATCTTTTAATTTGGATAAGAGTGCAATTAATTATTTAGTATTTCTTTGTAGAAATTCAATACGATTTGGAACACCCTTGGGTTAATCAAATCAGTGCTCAGAATTTACCTCAATCAGTGTTTGTCAAGTCATTGCCAAGAAGAATTAGAGGAAGAATTGTCAGGTTTTGTTGTATTGATCATTACTGTTTTTTCTCTCAAATCCTCAGTAATGATTATTGATCATCATTTACATAAAAAAGTAATGATCATATTATGAGAGGAAAGTATCATTTCAGAGGATATTCTCCAAAGACTATTACCAAAGAAGAAAAGTTTAAAACTGTGGAAACTATTGCCAAGCTTCATGCTTCTGGTATGGCTTATTTCAGATCACTTCCAGAGAAAGAAAGGCAATACAAGATTGACCAATTAGATAGAAAGGCACCAGTATTTTGCAAGAATACACAAAACACACCAGACCTTATCATGTTGATTCCACAAATTTGCTTCTGGTAAAATGGTTGACAATGATATTCATCCTGAAATTATTGAACTTGCTAAACAATTCTTCCAATCTTCAGTTATCAATGCCAAGTTAAAGTTATGTGAGGGAGCAGAGGAAATGCTTTCATTCGTTCACAGAGATTTACATTTCAATAATATTATTCAATTCGACCATGTCAGTGTTAAACTCGTTGATTGGCAATGCTGTGGATTGGGTAATCCTCTATTTGATGTATTTTACATGATATGTTTCACATCTGATTTGAATACAGTTGAATCTGTCGAGAAGGAATATTTGGACAATTACTATATTTGCATTTGCAAGGAATTGGAGCAATGAGGACTTTCCAAACCAAAACAATTAGAAAATTATGAAAATTATTTGGAATTCTACAAGAATGCCATGCTTAGTTTCTTCACTTGGTGTCTTGCCATCCAACTCATTTCAACTCAAAGCAAGGACAAGAATACTGAACTTGGTATTTCTGCCATAAATTTCCTCCAATCAGGAGCTCATCTCCTATTAAAGTATGGTAATTTAAAGAAGAGAGTTAATAAAATTCTCAGCCAATAATGATGAGAAATAACACTAAGGTTGTTTGAATTATCATCTCTGATTATTATTTTAAATTGTGATGAATTTTAATTTTTTTTAATTAATAAAAAAATGATTACCAACAATAATGCAGTTTCGGAGGTGACCATTTCATCTTCATCATCACCAGAAGAACATGGTTTTGTTATTAACAAGACTCAAGAATTTCTGAAGAGTAAAGGATTTGGGTGGTTGATGGAAGTGGATTCGTCATCAGATAGTAAGGAAAATATTTTGGGAGGAGAATCGGTTGAACAACCATCAATTTTAGAAGAATTGGATATTGATGTGGCCGAAATTATATTCAAAGTCAAGAGAGTAATTGTACCTTTTGGAAAATTTAGTAGTGAAGATTTGGAAAAATTGAGAGAACCAGGTAAGAGGATCAAATCGATCATTCTCACAATAATTTTCTCATCAATTATATTTAAATATAATTAATAATAATTTAATGATTGAAATAATATTTAGATTTTTGGGGACCATTCTTTATAATTTTAGCTTATGCCTTCCTTGTGGAATTAACTTATTTACAACTTAAAGTCATTACTTGGATGTATTTGATTTGGTTTATTGGATCTGCATTGCTTTTTGCACTTGGTAGATTATTCACTCCAGCAAATATTGAAGAAGCCAGATCACTTAAAAAGCTCAAGATGAATCAAGAAGGTTTCCAACCAATTGGAACATCAGATAATGCCCAATTTCCTTCTAGTGACAATGATGCTCCACAAATTTCTGAAGAAGAACAAAAGATTATTGATGTTCACTATGGACAAGTCATGTCATTTGTTGGATATTCCCTGATACCTCATGTTGCCATTCTCGTAGTTTTACTTCTTTTCAGACTTATTTTCGATCCTATATTATTCTCTTTAGTCTCACTTATTTTGAACTTGTGCTCAATTGCTTGGTCTACAGTGGTAAGTTTAATTTTCAGAATTCATTTAGCCTTATTCTAATTTCAATAGTCTTGTGTTTATTTATTCACAGCTGATAATTATTATCTGGAAAAGAAGAAGAAACTCTTGATTGTTCCAATCTTGTTATTATATTTATACTTTTTCTCCATGCAATCAGGTGTTTAAATCTTTACATTCAATTAAATAATTAAATAATATTTTATTATTTCAAATCACATTGGACATTGGATATCCAAATTGTTCATTGTAAAATGTTAAAATATCCAATTTTTGATGGAAACACAAATTAAAAAATGGCAAGAAAACGATTGCACACTTCCGAACATGATGACGAGGAAGAGAATCAACTTGTTGATCAAGAAATAATTGATGAAGAACAAGAAGAGGAAACAAAACATGATGATAAAGATATTATGGAAGATGATGAAGCACAAGATGAAAATGATGGAGAACTTGATTTTGTCTACTCTGCTTCCGATGTTTTCACCAAACCAAAAAAGAAAAAGAAACACTCACATAGTGATGGATGCTGTGTTGTTAGGGATATTGTCAATGTTGATATTTCAAAGGCTGGTTCTTTTGGTAGAATTTCAGAGTTGGCCTTCTCCTATATTTTGTTATATACGCACACAAAAGATACAACCAATTTGGCCTCTGTTTGTAAATGGACTTATTCAGTATTCTTATCTCTTAGATCATACAGTTTGAATAACATTCGTTTGGAGTATTTGAATGGCAGATGTCAACAGTACAAGACTTTGAATAGTTTGTTTAAAGTAGATAACATGAATAGAATGACTGGCTTTATGAAATATTTACCAAACTTTGAACCTGTTGATATTATGAATGATGACATTACTTTAAAGCTTCCAAACAAGTTTACCAAGAGAAGAAATGTTCTCATTGATCTGTATAATGATTTTACTGCAGAGGAGAAGAGTGATGCGAGTCCTGTGAAGAGAGATTTTCATTTTGATAGGATGAATCATTTAAAGTGGGAAACCTCTTTTCCAGAAAACATTGAAGAATTCCAATCTGTAGTGTCAGAAAATGCTGAACTTGGAAAGCACTTGTTGGACTGTTTGTGGGAAAATAACAAGGAGAATAGGGAGAAATTCATTATCGCTGGTGGTTTTGTTCTTTCATGTTTAACATCTAATACGCATTCATCTGATATTGATGTATTCTGTATTCAAAATGGAGAATCCAAAGAAAATTGCCACATGTCATTGAGAAGGATTTTATTCAAGTTTGGAGAATTAGCCAAGAAACACAAGTTTAATTATGGTATTGTGAAGAATAATGGTTGTATCAATATTTGCTTTGAGAAGAGATCTAAAATGATACAATTTATTCTGAGAAGAGTGGACACCATTGAGGAATTAATGACCTTCTTTGATATTGATTGTTGCAGATTTTGTTTTGACGGTGAAAGAGTCTACACAACAAGAGAGGGTATTGCCAGTCTTAATGTCAAGTACAACTTTGTACCAGCAGAGCACAAGGAGAAGGGAATGTACACCTCCAGAGCATACAAATACGGAATGAGAAACGTGATGACTCTTTTCACAAAAGATCACTCTCTCGATCATTTTCATTCCAGAAAACTCAAACTCGATAGAATTAATGAAGCCCTGGAACAGAATGATACCGAAGAATCAGAAGTGCTCTTTGGTGATGGTACTGACAAGAAGGATTTTGAAGGATTATATTCTATTTTCAATGACTTTTCACTTTCGTATGATATTATCAAATTGGTAAGAGTTGTGGGAGTGAGAAAATTCTTGTCACACAATTGGGAGAACTATTATGGATCAAATTGGGATGGCATATCATACAATCCTCAAGATTATGAAAACAATGAAGAAGAAGTCAAGGTTCTTTTGATGAAAAGTTGGAAGCAATGATTAGAAAATTAACATTTGAAGATACTCACTACTTTTGTCTGAGTGCTAGAGAATTATTCTTGAGAGATGCCACTATTTATTACTCTGATTACTATTTTGATTCACATCTTAGAGGAAAGTACAACTTTTGGAAGTGCTATTGTTGTGGATTCTACAGACATTCGAGAAAACTGAGTTATACCAATGATGGACACGATATGTGCGATACTTGCTCTCTATTTAATAGTAGAATGAGATCTTTGAAGAGAGATTTGGTTGGAAAGGTTGCTATTGTGACTGGTGCAAGAATCAAGATTGGTTTTGAGACTGCTCGTGCTCTTTTGAAAAATGGAGCTACTGTTATTGGTATGTATCAACATTTCATTTGGTATTTTAACATTTTTATTCATAGCTACTTCCAGGTTTACTCATGATGCCTATGAAAAGTATGCAGAATGTGATGACTTTGAGGATTGGCAATCTCGCCTCTTTATTTATCCATTGAACTTGAAAGATGGTGATTCAATTCTTTCATTCTGTGCCTATGTAAAGAATAATTTTTCTAAAATTGACATTCTCATTAACAAGTAAGTATTATTCACCTTGACTGAGTTTTGTAAACTAATTATTGATCTATACAGTGCTGCTCAAACTGTGAGAAGACCACTCAAGTATTATGAAAAATTATTGGAGAAAGAAAAGAGTAACTTATCAGAAACTCATCTTGGAGAAATCAAAACCAATGACTCTACCGAGTTGGTTCTCAAGAATGAAAATAAGAAAATTGTAATTTACAGTGACGAATTATCAATCAAGAACCACTGTCTCAATATTACAGAACATTACAGTTTAACTAAGGAAGATTTTGATTCCAACCTCCATAGCATGTTTCCTGAGGGAGAAACTGATCAATTTGGTGAACAAAAAGATAATAGAACCCACCACTCTTGGACATACTTACTTCCAGAAATTGATGCTATTGAACTATTGGAAACTACAATGATTAACAATATTGCACCAACAATTATTGTCTCTCAACTAATGGACATTATGAAACCTAAAGTGGAAGATCTAGAAAATGTAACTGCTGAAGACATTTTGACTGGCAAAAACTCATCCTACATTATCAATGTTGTTTCACATGAAGGTATTTTCAATATTGATGGTAAAACAGATGGTCACGTCCACACCAACATGTCCAAAGCTGCTCTCAACATGCTCACCAGAAGTGCCTCAAACTACTATGCCAAGAATGGAATCTTGATGAATTCATGTGATACTGGTTGGATTTCATCTGCAATCAAAACCTTTATGAAACCACCTCTCACTGTAAAGGATGGTGCCTATAGAATTTTATATCCTATTCTCACTTGTTCATTAGATTATGGCAAGTTGTATAAGAATTATCATGAATCCAAGTGGTAGTAAAAATTGAAAAAAGGATTAAAAATGTTATTAATAATGATGACAAGTTTTGAACAGGTTAAGCCTGTTTACAGCAATCCTAAACTTGATATGAATAAATTCATAAAGTATTCAATGCACTTTGAGCTATTCTGAAATCCGAACAAGAATTGTGGTGAAGTGAAGCTAAGAGAATTCAAATGGATGTTCCAGTAGAAGGTCTCAGTTCACTCAACCCAATTGTCATTGATGACGAAGATGATGAAGTAATCAAGCTTTGTTTTTTGAGTATGTGTTTGAAGAGGATCCACTAAAGAAAGGTTCCAGTAAAATTAATATCAAAAGAAAAAATCAGATGATTTTCAAGTTCTCATCGGATTGTTGGATTTCATTTTTAGTGGATTCTTCCAAAATCCGTGCTTTCAGTGTGTCTGTTGTATAATTTTTTGCCTTATTCTTTTTTAAAGTTACTCTTTATTTCTAAAAAAGTTGCACTAGTGCAATTTTTTATAGAGATTCTACCTCAATGTTCTTTTCATCTTGATTGTCTCATCCTTCTGGCCATTCCTCGTCCTACTGATCAACCTTAATAATTAGGTAAGTAATGAAATATACTCTTAAGAAAAAGTACTGAAAGAGAGTGGATTCGGATCAATTTATATCAACAAGAAGACAGCCAATGAAGGAGCCAAGTCAAAGATGATGTTGTGTAACGACAACATGTTTGTTCCTAACACAGAAGTTAAAAACAACTCTCTAGATGTATACAAATGCAGTAGCAAGGAGTATCAGGAGTTGTCTTAAAGTCAGCTGTCATTGTAGGGTTATTCGGAGAACCACACAAGAATCCAAATGCTTACTCATTCTTGAAGGGTGTTGCTGATTCATTGGTTAATGCTGGTACTTTGCAATAAATAAAATTTTTTGCAAATTTGCAACCCAATTTTTTTTAATCATCACACTATTGGTATAAAATGTTTTTTATCGAATCATATATTTCTATTTTATTAAATTGAATCGATATGATGTAGTGTGTATTTTGTCATGAGGTTGGATGGATTTTAAGATGGTTGAGAATTCGAGAGCGATTATTTTGATGAAAATTAATTTTAATATTTTGATCAATGAAAAAGATGATCCGAGAAGAGATTTAAAAAATATGGCGCCAAAAATTCTACAAAAATTATATAATTAAAAAAAATAAGAAAACATATAGGAGGAGGTTTTAATTCTGTCATGATTAAGAGAACCTTCAAGAACAAGAGGAAGAAGTAAGATATTTGACACAACAATGAAAAACCCAACACTATCGAACTAGTTCACTACCATATCAAACTAAATTTTCATTCCTCTGGTTACAGAGCTTACTATTTTATACTGCTCACTCAATTTAAGAAACTCTCCGTAACACAAGAAACTATTTGCATGTAACACTACAATTTCTTCACTTCCTGCTCGTGTGGCAGATTTTATCATCTCTATAATCGTGCGCTGGCTGATTTATTTTCTCTCCACCTTAAAAAAAATGGCAAAATTACTCCTCGCTCTACTAATCATTGTAATCTCCCTAGTAGCTTTATTAAGCGTGGATAATGTTGTGGAGGCAATTGTTTGCCAACAAAATTTTGAATATCCATTGTATAAACAATGCGGCCAGCCATGGTCTAATGACTTGTTTGGTCGTAGCTCTATTTGTTATACTGGATCTTTGATTACATCAATGAGCATGGCTTTGAACGGTCGGAAGATATCTTCCATGAATCCTGGTCAATTAAATTCTTGGGCACATACAGCTCTTAAAGAATGGTTTGATAAGTGGAATGATGATGATAGAGCATTGGAAAATGCCTTAGTACATGGCTTGGAAAAGCTTGGCATGAAAAACACTAATTACTATCCGAATAATAATTGGATTGGAGAGATGGTTACTGATCTTTGCAAGGGAAAGGTTGTTCTTTTACAGGTTGCCAAAGATGACTATAACAAATACTGGACTCTGGCCACTGGTTTTGATGAGACAACATTCACTGTTAATAATCCAGCCTATTCCAAGACAGTTTTTAATGCAATGGAAGTTAAGAGTGCTGTTGTTTTCGAACAAATCAATCAAGAATTCATGAAATATTTTGATTGTCATGTTGAAATAGTTAAATTGTAATGAATCAATTAATAAAAAATGTATCAACATGTAAATGTTGTCACTATACCATCAAGAGAACCTAAACTCAATATGAGAGAATTATTGGAAAGGCTGAATAAATCGGAAGAATATTTACTAACCAATCAAATTGATCAATATGTGAATATCAGATACAATAATTGTGATCCTATCATTCAGGATTTAATTATTAATGATTTGAAAACAAACAATAGCACCTACCAGCAGCAGCAACAGAATATTAAATTAAATATTAAATTATTAACAAATTGTTTGGATGAGAATATAATTTATGAAATTATTCAATTCATTCCGACTTATTCTAGGATTCATGATCAATTGAATAATGATGACAATGATGATGATGGATCGGAATTTAATTTTGCAGACTATGTGATGGATGATACGTTAGTAACACTTCACAAGATGAGATTGATTAACAAGACTTTTAATTCAATCATGATGAAGAGAATTCTAACACTTTCAAAGATTAGAATTGATTTGACCGTAAATTATAGGAATTCAAGAGATTCCTTTATCAAATTACTTGATTCTCAGGAATTGTACAAGGAAAACATGATGTCAGATAAGAATTTCACTTTAGGATACTCATTCGATAGCTTAGTGGATGGAGGGTGGGAAAATAAAAAGCCCCTTACTCTAGTTTCTTCCAATATGGAATACAAGGAAGCTGTGTATTCAATATACCATTCAGAGAAAATACGTACGCTTGAAGCATTGAGAAAACATACTTATCGATCAACAACTTGGAATACCACAGTTGAAGAATTGACAATTTGCACTGAGGATTCAGATATGGAATTTATGTTGTCATGTAAAAAATTGAGAAAGTTGAACATTTTGACAACTGTAATGCCAAAGTTGACTACCCATCAATTCGATGTATTGGAAGAGGTGGAAATTATTGAACCTTCCCATGATTCAGTAGTTAATAATGGCAGAACATTTAGAATGTTAATCAATTTACCGAATATCAAATCATTGACGCTTTTCTTGGTTGAATCAGATGAAGATGCCTATTACAAGCTAATGGTTTTCTTTCTTTCTCTGAACTTTGGAATTAATTTCAAATTTTATGAAATTGTGGAGAATGGAGAAAAAAGAGAACTAGATGTGAAGGAGTTATCAACTCGTGAGGAAACAGGACGAGTAGTCGTGATCAATTTCAATTCTGTAATATCAAACCCCAGCAGAAAAGTATTGAAAGAGCTTATTGAGCGATATGGTTCCAAATTCGAAACCTACCTACCAAGAATTATCTTCACTTCAGAAACTGACAAGACATCTACCATAGAGAAATTCAGAGAAATAGCAGGTGATTTTCTAAAAGAGGGAATATTTCACATCTGTCACACGAATTCTCTGAAAATGTTTAAATCTTGCAATGTGGATCCAAAGACTGCTTTGATGTTGCAACATGTAGTTTATTCTTGCAATGAGTATCAAGAATCGAAACTTATTTCCTATCGTCCTTTTAACAAGGAAGACTTTCCAATATTTTTAGAGGCAATTCATTACGGATTGGATTTTAGAAAACAAATCAAGGAAATTATGAATATTTATTGTTCTATGGATGATGTTTCTGGAATAGGCTCAACCCTACATTATTTGAATGTGGATTACAAAGTTATTTATTCCATGCTTCACAATATTACTAAAGTTATTATGAAACTCAATCAGTTTTCCAAAGGAATTGAGATATTGATTAGCTACATGCTCAAGAATAATCCAAAACTACTATTCGAATGGTTAAAAGAAAAGAAGGCGATTTCAAAGTCTGAAATATGGCACATTCCTTTTCTTGCAAGCTTATTTTCCACAAATATTAATCCATATTTCGTAAGACTATTAATTGATGAAATGGATAAGGAAATATTTGAATGGGTAAATGAGAGAGGAGATTCAATTCTTCATTTATTCATCTTTTTAACAAAATCATTCAATTATGAGATATTCCTTGCAATTATCAAGAAGAATCCCAATTTATTGAACCTGTCCAATCACAAAAACGAAACTCCTCTCCAACTTTTACTGCTTCGACAAAAAGATAACGCCTACTCACTTCTTTTTGAAACAGCAAGATTAACAGGACTTGAGATTAAAAACTTGGGAGGTAATACTTTTGATATGGACTTTACGTTCAAATAAAGTTGTTTATTCAAGTTAAAAGAGAATGAGTGGAGCAATTGCAAACCAATTACCAACAACTGTAAATGCAACAGCCCATAAAATTCCATTCAATAAAACAGTATTATATTCTGATTGATTCCACAAACTATTGTACAATTGGAGTGGTTGGTCGTGATTCTTTTTGTGAGTTCTGTCAGATAAAAAGTTGCAAAGGTTTTTCTGATATGTGGAATAGTAGATTGAATAGGCAAAAAGGGTAGCTCCTCTGAAAACTGCTTTTGGTATTGTGATACCTCTTTGATGTTTCAAATGGAGATAGCAAACAAAACTGACGAGTGCTGATCCTACTAAATTGGTAGAGTTTGGAGCCCGCAATTGAACAACCAGACTATTTTCATTCATTCCATCAATATATTTTCCAATCACAGCAACATGATGTTTAAAGTATTGATCTCCAACACGAGAGGATGCTAGATTCATGGCATCTACAAGTTTTGGATTGGATTCAGAGAGTGGCTTCATTCTACTCTTTGTTAAACTTGACAATACAATTCCATTAACACAAATCAATGCCACAAATTTTTCCAAATCATTTCCCTTTGTGAACATGTTGGTAATGTCGTTCTTGTATGTTTCATCCTCGAGAAAATGTTGAAGTAAATGTTTGTTTGCAAAAAAGTGAGAAAGTAATGAGAGTGATCTCTTTTCTCTCAAAACAATAGCTCTAGTTTGATTCATGTCAGGAGATTTTTGGAATCTGTCAGCAGTACTGACCTCTCTTGAAGATTTACTAGCAAGAGCGGCCAATTCCTCAAAAGAAATGTGAGCTGATGTACTTTGGAATGCCTTAATATTATCAATCACAATTCTAATAATATTAAACTCCTTGGTTTGAGTTGAAGCCTTGTAGAAAGTCTCTGCCAAACGGGGAGGAGAGCCAGCCTTGAAAATTAATGACATGAGCTCTAAAGCAGGTTCACTAAGATTATTATTCTTTGAGAGGGATAGCTTGAAAATATTCTTGACAAAGTTCTATATTATTATTAATTTCACGAAATTTCTCACATTTCAACATACCTGATTGTAAAATTCCTCCATAGCAATTCTTTCCTTCAATAAAGTTTTGATATCAGTGAGGAGAGAAACAATTCTAGCCTCATCTGTTGCAGACAAGTCGTCCTCATTGAAATTTCCTTTCGACATCCATTCAAAGTACTCATTCTCTCTAATTGTTACTTGAGCCTTTTCCAATAGATATTTAATACCATACCAAATACAAGTAAAGACAACACCAGTTACGATAGTGCTTGGTCCTGATGATTCTTGTTGATTTGATTGAGTATTATATTCGGAATATTCTTCTTGTTTTTGTTCTTGTTGTTGTTGTTGCTGTTGTCTAAAAAGCCTTTCCTTTTCCCTTTCGTAGGCTTGTTGTTCTTGATCATTTTCAAACATTCTAGAAAGTAATTTTGCATTACTAGTTCCCAACATTCTAAAATGTTCCTTTCCGATATTAATCATTGTTTTCCTATTATTCACATTTCTATTTACAAAATTAACAAGTGAACGACTCGATAAAACACTTCTTTTCATTTTTTATAATAATTATTATTTTTAAAAATAGTTTCATTCCTATCTTGATTTGCTAATGGAATTTTGATAGGTTTTCATTGTAACACTAAGGAGATATTGAAGTCTTAATCTTCCAGGAGCCCCTGAATTCATATAATGAATCCTCGTAGCTGATCAAAAACATGTTCTGCTATTTTTTTAAGATAATTTAAAAACCTTTTCCCGCCAACAACTACACAAACTTTAAATTTTAAAAAATTAAAAAATATTCACAACATCGATCAAGATGTTGTCAAAAGTAAAAGTATCCAATGATTTTAATATTATTTGTAAAGCAAGTAAAGCTATTTAAAGCGAAAATCGAATCCTAACTCCACAAAAACTCCAAACAAACCCTTTCGCCCTTTTCTTCTTAAAATATATGGAAAAAAAATGAACGATCAACTACCATCCAAACCATTCACTTCCTCCACGACAACTACCACGAGTGCTCTCTCCATTACTTCATCATCATCGGCGGCTACGACCACCACCACCTCTGGATCATCTTCTTCGAATAGCTATAGCAATCAGTCAATGATGTTCACACCATCGGGTCCAACAAGGACACAATCAGCAGGCAATTTTCAAGAAGGTTTTCATGTTGGTGGTGATTATGGTAGTGGTAACAACAATGGAGTCACAAGGGCCACTTTTACATCATCCACTAGTGCTAATAATATGAAAGCACCCTCTCGTTTACCAACAGGAAATATCAATCATCAAAATATACCAACACCAAATTTCTTCTCGTCAACCATTCCGACTGGCAGCCAGTTTGTTCCTCACACTCAACAAATGTTTATGACAAATAATGAAAAGATTGAAAGGTTAATCAAGACTACTTTCCAAACACAACAATTGGGACTTACAAAGACAATATCTTTCCTTCATAATATTTGTGGTATTGAAGAATCATATCAACAGAAAATTGCCACTGAATGTGCAAGTAGTAATTTTGAAGTGCATTTTCCTGGTGAAATAGGACAAGTACTTGCTTCTTGTCGTTCCTTCTTTTATAAGAATGCAAAGAGCTCTGAAAGATTTGCTCAAGATGTGAAAACTTGTCTCTGTGACCCTCTATCACAAATTAACAAGGATATTTCGAAAAAGAAAAAGATGATTACCCAAACACACGAAGCCATTTGTAAATCCCATCAAAATTCACTCAGTCAGCTTCAAAGTAAGAAGAAAACAAATGAATCAAAGAGACAAAATTTGGAAAATGCAGAAAAGAAATGGAAAATGTCTCTTGCTCAATCCCAATCCGAAAAAACATCAGCAAAGGAATCATTTTTCAGTTCTTTAATCGATCGTCAACTCAATCCTGAACAGACCAAAGCCAAATGTACGTATATGTTTTCACAATATCATTTACATTGTTTTTAAAGACGAACAAAGCTTGGAAGAATATTCCGAGAGTGAAATCGAACTTCAACAAACTAAACAAAAATACGAGACACTGGTAAAGACAACACTTCATCCACAATGTAAAACAATTGCTGAAAAGACAGCTGAACAATATGTTGAAACTGGAACAATTCTTCATCTCTATATTCAACATTTAACTAAATTATTAGAAGCAAGAGTTACAGAAGCTCAAAATAATTTGGCAGCTTTTAGAGAAATTGTTGACGGTATGAATGTCGAGGATATTGAACAAACATTGGTACAATTAGATGCCACACTCGATGAAGAACCAAAAAAGAAACGAGAAACACCTTCCCCTAACACTACCTCCCCACATTCAGAGAGACCAAGACCAAGTAATGCGACTCCAATTTTTTCTGTATATAGCCAAGAACGAGATGAAAATACTGTCTTTTTTGATGAAATGCTTAGTGAAATTATTACAATGGATGAGAGTGATGAACCAAGTTTCCACAAATCACCAACCACTTCACCTATCTCACCATCCAATGATGCAAGAACTTCACTTCCTATTGATGAAGATCAATCATTACCGAATCAAGAAAACCCATCATCTGAAGATCAAGAGCAACCTTCATCTCCAAGTCAAGAACAAGGTACTCTTGGCTCTCCAATAGAAGAACCAAGCGAGCCAATTATTCCTAAAAAACGACCAACCATACACAAAGAATCAAATGTAGATAACAGCCCACAATTTGTAAAATATATGAACAGACTTACACAAGCTAAGGAAAAAATCAACACATCAGAAGAGTGCAGAATTGCATTTTGTAAAGTACTCAACCAAAAACGATCCAAAGCATGCTTTAAGAAATTCTTCTACTTCCAAGATTTGGCAGAGCTCATTGGAGATTGTTTGAGTTTGGCCCACACACAAAATGATAGAAATGTTGGAAGATTATTGCTTAACATGACACAAACATTCTACTATTATGGAATAGACTATCCTCCACTTGAAGAAGAAAAGGACAAACCAAAAGAAAAGAAGAAAATATTTGTCTACTCTATTTTGGATGATATGCCATGCTGGCAAGATTTGAGATTTTGGGAATTTTGTTTATATGACGGTCTCAACACTGAGAAACTTAGTAGAGTTTCAAATAATAATACCGCTCTGACAGAGGAACAAATGCAAGCAGAGCATGAAAATATAGTCTTTGGATTATTGAGCAGTTTTTGCTTTACAATGAATGAAATGCACATTCCACAGGACATTATCAGAAAGTTTGCAGAAAAGATGTGTGATATTAACTCTCTAAATGAAGATTACAGAACCATGATCATGTCTGTTGTTGCCCCTGAAAACAATGAATCTTCTGAACCAGAACACCATGTGAAAATGTCTCGATACAGATCCAAACGTCAGGGTGTTCTCATGACTGACGAACAATTATCTCAACTTCGAAATGATATCCGAAGGGAAAGTATTGTTGACATTAATGATGAATAATTTTCCACTACTCCAATTTTTCACACAATAAATTCGAACATGAAATAGCACATGTCACACCATATGATAAACTTTACAATAAAATGCATCTTGGAATGGTCATTGCCAACTCGAAGTTCCAATCAAATTCCGATAGCAAAAAAATGTCTCAACTCATTCTTCGTACTTTTGGTTTTCTCTATGTGATTTTATCCCTCATTACAATGATTACACCAAATATGGTGGCCAATTCGTTTTTCCAACAATATTTCCACCATCTAGATATTGATAATTATTCTCTGATTATTATGGATTTGTTCCGATTGATTGGAGTTTTTGTTTTTATTAGTGGCGCCTTGATGATTGGAATTTCGAGAAGCAAGTTGGAATCTTTGACATTTTTCAATGTGGCCTTTATGATTTTCTCAGTGATTGGTTTGCTTTATTCGGTATTTCATGCAGTGTTGAGTAGGGAATTTCGTTGGAAGTTTACATCATCAGCTTGTTTGGTGATTGTCTTTCTTGCTCAGGTCATTTCAATGGGATATTCAATGTTTGCCTCGTCGAGGAGAAGAAATCAACACAGCACCTCATTGCCATCTTCGAATAGTTATAGTATGGGTTTTAACAATCAATCATCAACTCCTTACAATCCAAATATTCACACAAATTATTATAATGCACAACCACAAATGCATCAACAACAATATCAACAAGCTTCTTGGAATACTAATAGTAGTGCTTTTGGACAAAGTTACAATGGATTTAATAATGGTGGAGGATTTGGTCAATCTGGCTTTGACACCTCTTTTGGTTCGGATATGAGAAAGAGAGTTTAATCTTCCATGATGGAATAAACAATGGTATAATAATAGAAATCATAGTATTTAATTATGAATTAGGTTTATTTAGGATTGCTCTTTCGGAATAATTTCAAAATTGTGTGATAAACATTAGATATTCATCACAACCAATCATGGATTGGTATTGGACGATTTGTATGTGTGGATCGTCGTACCCTGTACAAACAGACAAGTTATTATTTGTTATGTAGGAGGAGTGATGGATTAGATATGGAGCTTTGAAGGTGGCTTTCAAGGAATTGATCAAATTCTCTCGAATCCATAAACCTCACAAAGACATCATGCAAATTACCCATACAATCATCAAGCATTGATTTGTGAAGTGCCTTGTAATAGTTAAGTGTTGCTGCTTCGAGTGATATCTTTGGCATTTCTACCTTGTTAGTAGGAATAATGGCAGCATTGGTTGATTCAACATTTGAATTTGTTGCTGTTGTTTCTGTTGTTGATGGTGTTTGACTCAATGTTTCTTCCTCTATTGTAATTTGTTCACTTGTTGATTCTGCAGCTATGGTCGATGGAGCTGTTGAAGAGTCAATTGTTGAAGAGGTTGTTGAAGAGTCAATTGTTGCAGTTGACTTTTCGGTGAGATCTGTTATTGTGGTAATTGTTGTTGCTGTATCTTGGTTCATTCCTTCAAGTCTTGGTGTTGTTGTGTAGGCAAATTCCTCGATACCTCCTTTCCTTCTCTTGGACAAGACAGCAAAGGTACAAAAACCAATATTCATCTCATAATCTGACCCAGAACTTAGGTATTCCTCTTCCACTCGTTCCATATCAGTAATGAATTTCTCTGTTTCTGTCATGTTTCTTTCGTCTGGTTTCTTCTTTAACAGAAGGTGTGAAACAGAATTTGTCTTGGCTTGCATATCATCACAATTGATGGTCAGCAAGACTTTTAACAAATCTAAATTTTCATGGCTATACTCCTTTTTAGAGAATTTGTATAAGAATTCAAAACCAACTGGATCAAACAAGACATCAGATAAATGATATTGTCCAGCATTGGCAGGTCTAACAGCAGCACTCGTAGCTCTTCCACTTCTATTGATGATATTTGTTTGTGAACCTGGTGAATCGAGTGCACTTTCCAACAGTGAAGAATTGGACGAAAATTGGGTACTGTTTTGTTTGGCAATGCTGCTCTTTCGTGATGACTGCAATTTGGTCATGAGTTTAGTACCTAAAATCCTCTTTGCAAGACTGGCATTATGATATGGATTTGGAGCTGATATGGAAGATCCATCAATTGACTGTGAATCTATGGATAATCTCGGTAAATGGCTCTTCTTTTCCAAAGGTTCTTCATTAGAACGTTGTTGACTCAGGCAATTTCCCATACTTTCAACAGTTATAAATATTATTGAAACCTTTCAGATAAGTTAGAAGCAGTGGTAGTAGTTAAATATATATCAAACAGCTAGCAACTAGTTGTTGTCAATGTATTTTGTTATTGTTTGTGTGTTTTAGAGAATTTGAAAAAGGTTAACTTTTGCTTCTCACAAATTCAAGAGAGAGATAGATTGATATATTCGGACAATCAAACAACCCTTCAAAGGATGACTCGAAACAAACACACTCTCTGCAATATTTACTATAGTAGATATGCAAATAATCTTCTCTTATGCTGAATAGAGATGATGATGACGATTCAAAAAATCGGCCGCGCTTTAATGAACCAACAAACAATTGAGAATGTAATAACATGGTACGTGGTTTCTGTTGTTGTGAGGGTTTTTGTGCTTTTTTTTTTGTTGTGTTAAGCAACCAAGCCTTTGTGATTGTTTTCGAATCTTTCGGATGTTTGGGCAATTTCAAAGATGGTAGTGATTTGTGCTTTTGGAAATTTGAAGAGATGTTAAAGAACATGCAAAGCTTTGAAAGGTCTAATATTGAGAATAGTTTAGTTTCTAATAATTTGAAGATTGCAATGTTATACAACAGAGACAATATTCAATATCATCACTGATGAATAGTCTTTTTCACATTGAGTAGCACAGCAAGTAACAAAAACAGCGTACCAATCCTTGCCTTTACAAATAAAGGTGAGATTGAGGGCTGCCGAATTAGCAGAAATGATGCAAAAATTTCTGTTTCCAAAGAAAGAAGCTATTGGAAAATCTGAATTTCCTTTGGCTCGAATTTTCTTCGCTTGTTGTTCGTCAATTCCTTTTCAAATTCATTAGCAAACTTTGTTCGGAAAAGATTGTTCAATTTTTTTAACTGTCGGAATGATTTGAGAAATCATTGCAATAAATGATTCGAATTTGAGAGGTTTAAGTTGGTCACGAATAGATGATATTTACTAAAACACACTACCACACGAATACCTTCTTTAAAGAGCAATTTAAATTGCGAATAAGAAATGGATGGTACAGTTTCGAATGGTCAGGAATATACAGTTGCAATCTACAGTTTTCAAATGCTCTTCCACTTGTTTCTTCCTTTATAAATTAATATTAATATCGTTGTGATAATAATTTTTGAAATGAATCACTTGAAAATTGTTTGTCATCCACATTTTTAAAAAGGGTAAAACAACGTCTAATTCACTTCTGAAAGGAAAATTACATAAAAAAAATACAAACAAATTGTTGGGAGGAGGAGAATATATCTTTTCTTGTAAAACAGTTGGATTTGAAAAAGGACGAGCAGAAGAAAGAGAGGAATTGTTAACAATTCGGATTAAAGTAATCATCATCATCATACTATTGTACTATTATTGTTATAAAAATGTTGAGATGTTGTTGTTATCAGTGTGGTCCTCTGGTGGATCACGCCCTCCAACAGAAAAACAAATTCTTTTATGGATCAACAACGAGAGAGAGTGAAGCCTTTGAGAAAATGTTCAAATCGAGGAAGGAAAATACATCAAGACATTCCGATGAATATTTTCAAAATGATGATGAAAGACACGTTTTTGAAATTTATGTACCCATGTTAGATGAAAATATGTTTGGTGGACTGCCAACACTGTTTGATAAGGAGACTTATCCACTTACTTATTTGGGGTTACCTAAAACAGCTAAGAATAGCAATATGAATGAGGATGGATTTGTAATGAATAATAATAATAATAATAATATGGATGTCGCTCAGCAGCAATCTGGAGAGGGCAGTGTGAAATTCATTTTCAATCATTCTGCTTTTGAAAATTCATGTACTTTGGGAATCCCCAATAATGTCAATTTGAAAACCATTCTCACATCTGAGGAAGAACAAGTGGAATTATTGAGACAAATTGTCTTTGAAAATATTAAACAACATGAATGGAGATATTGCATAACGAATATTAATGCTGGTATCAGTCACTCATTTCCATGTCCTGGAAAGGTCGGTTCTGCTCTTACATTTGCTCCATTTACTTGTGGGTTGAGTATCCTGCCTATTTTCTTATTGAGCAATTATTACATTTCTGAAGCAATGAGAAGAATCAACATGTACCTTGGCAAGGTCAATAAGAGCCTCTTGGATAGAGCTAAGGAAAAGAATCTGGACTTTTATTTACATTTCCAAGTGGTAAGACAAGAGAAATCAGGGATCAGCTGGGTGCAGGTCAATGCATTGGCAACAAGAGGAAGTGAGGCTGAGAGTCGTCTTTCCTTCTCAAATGAGCACGTTATTGCACAAAGACAATTAATTGATGAGGATGAAGAGGATATGCAATCAATAGAATTAAAGTAAATGTATTATTTCAGAATTAAAAAGATTACCTCTGCATGATGATACTGAATATTCACTTTGATCATTGTTTTTGGATGAAAAATTTTACGGAGGGAATTTATTCACGATGTATGAGCTGAAGAACTTGAATGAGACTCAAAGCACCATCACATCTACTCAACTGAGCTCAACTGTTTCCAGTATTTCATCTGTTAGCTCTACTATTGGATACCTAGATTCTTCTACTCGATCAACTGTTGTAGAATATTTTCTGGTTACATTACAAAAAGCCGATTTGAATAATGTTCAATTATCAACTGAAGATTTTCAAACAAGTTTATCTTCACTTTCCTCCATTGAAAATCAATTTATTTCATCTGTAGAGAGGAGATTAACTGTCACCAGAAAATTTACTAAAATCATTAATATTTACAATGTGTTAACTCAAATGAAATCTAAAAACTTGATAGAAGATTCATCACCAATTAAGATAATTGGAAAGGTCTATAAATCGTATTCCAATTATATCAAGAGTTCAACAGTACAAGATTTAATATTTGATGATGAAACAATTATGCAGTCAAATGGATTGCCATCATCCAGCATTGTAACAGTTAAAAGTTATTACAATGAATTAGTTTCAAGTGATTTCAAGTATTCAAAAGTTTTAGAGTTTACCCTCTACGATGTGAATACCAACCATGCAATTGAGAATCTAAATGTAAATTCACAATTTTTTATTCCATTCACTTTAAAAAGATCATATGTTTCAAGCAATTGTAAATTTCAAAGCTACTCAGGAGAATTCATACAAAACTATTGTACGACATTTACAGACAATTCTGGTTTCCTATCACTTAATGTGTCCAGAACTGGTGTTTATCTATTGGAATATCAACAAGTTGCAGAGATTACACCTCTTCCACCAACAGCAAGTACAAGTCAACAAACTGTCAAATTGTCCACAACCAGCAGTGACCCTTTAATTATTGGATTATCTGTAGGATTACCTGTCGCTTCCTTGTTTGTCGTTAGTATTGTTATAATCATAGGTTTAATTATTATTTTGAGGAAGAATAGAAATTCCAAATCATTAGTTGAAGAAAGTCAAAATGAAAGAAATTACTTTGATAAATTGAAATCTCAAAAGGAAATGGAAATACCCACCATAGATATTGAATTGAAAGATAATGCCGATTTTATTGAAATTGAGGAATCTTGGTCACATAATGAAGGTCCATTATTGATTCCATCAGATGAGATCTCAATTGTTTCAAAGCTAGGAAGTGGAGGGTTTGGAAAGGTGTACAAAAGTGAATATACACCAAGAGGAAAGGAAAAGAGATTTGTTGCAATTAAGAGTATAAACGATGAAGACTCGATATTGTCTAACTCTACTTCAAATCCTTCCTCTTCATCAAGTCAAACCATTTCAACTGAAGCTCTGCTGATGTGTTCACTAGATCATGAAAATATTGTGAAATGTTTTGGAGTTTCTATAAAGGATGGCATTCAATTTATTGTAATGGAATATGTGGATGGTGGAAGCTTACAAGATTTGATACATGAATTGAAAAATGGAAGAAAAGTAATGGATTTGGATGAAAAAATCAAAATATTGTTACATATTTGTCATGGAATTAATTATTTACATAATTTACCAAGACCAATAGTTCACAGAGATTTGAAACCTGGAAATTGTTTATTAACCAGATCGACAATGTGTTGTAAATTATGTGATTTTGGCTTATCAAAAGCATTTTCAAATTCATCAATTAACTCAATGACAAACAACATTGGGACTTTATTCTATATGAGTAACGAAATTATTGAAGGAATGGTCAAGAAGGAATTCGCCAAAGCCATTGATTGTTACAGCTTCTCAATTTTGATGTGGGAACTGCTGTTTGAAGAGAATCCTTACATTTACAAGAATATAGGAAAGTTATTCTTTGAAAGAGATTTTGAGGGTTCAGGATATTCTGGCTTGGTTGGTTTTAATATATTGCCAAGAGTTATGAGTGGGTTGAGGCCAGTGATTCCCTTCCAAAACGATAGACAATTATGTAAATTGTGGACCCAAAAGTTTATTCATTCCAAATTTACAAATGAGAGTATTGTTGAATGTTTATTGAAGATGAAGGACTTGATGGAATCTTGTTGGCAACCAACTCCAGAAAAAAGACCAAGCTTTGCATCTGTGATTAAAACACTGAACGACATTAGAAATACGTTGCGTTTGAACAAACAGTGTGTTTAATAGTTTAAGCATCTTGAAGTGGACCCTTGTAACAAATCAATACAATGTTTATATTTAATAATATTCAATGCTAGCTGTTTAACATAATTTATTCAATATTGCAATGGTTGAACTTTGAAATCCGAGTTCAGTTTCATTGTAATCATTTTTCTTCTCTTTAAATATTGTAAACAGTTCAACAAAAAGAACCAAAAAAAATGTCTCAACACCTCTCCACAAACATTGACGAATTCATAAAGAAAGGCTACAAGGGATGGTATTATAGCAAAATCCCATCATTCCGTCCTGGACGTTCCATCCTCTCCACCTATGAATTATTTTCATTCCGAGAATTGCCTTTTATTCATTTCCTTGATGAGGATTATAAAGCCTTTGTTGAAAGATATAATTTGGAGGAGAATGAGACACAAGATGATGATGAAATAGTTCTTTCTTATAGTAGTAATAGTAGAACAAACACTTCTTTGGAATTAATACCTCCAAAGATTGTTCATCTTTATGAAAATAGCAATATAATTGCAAAATATTTAAAATCGGAAATTACTACGTTTTATGTATCGGAAGGAAGTGTTGTTCGTTTGAAACGATATGAGGATTTGGATTTGTATATTCTTCCCTTTTTTAAAGATGCTATTGGTGTGATGAATTGGTATGCCCTGTATGATTTGAAGAAGAGTAGTGGAGTGGGAAGTTTTATGCATCCCGTGGTTGTTTCTGGTTTTCCAGAGGATTTATCAATGCTGGATTTGAATGATTTAGATTTGGTTTCAATGAATGTTCATGAATTTATTGGAAGAATGCTTTTGGAAGGTCATTTGGCAAGAGAAATGAAACGTGTTAATGGAGATGTTCAAGCTCTTGTGAATCCATTGTGTCGTGAATATGTAGAACATTATTTGAGAATTCAGAAAAGAAGGAGTGAAACCATATTTATTGGAAATGAGCATGTTGGCAATTTTAGTGATGTGAGCTTTGCTTAATTTTGAACATGGTATCAGTTCTGAGGATGTACTTGACGCCATCTGTTACTTTTTCTCCACAATGTAACATATCCATATCTTCCTGTGGAAAAACAATACAAGTTCCAGATCTCTCAATAACTCTGGCAGTCTCCTTTCTATGATATTGCTCAAAGAAAATTGTCGATCCACCCTTAAAATCACCCTCCAATTGTGAATTCAAATAGATCATAAATGTCAATGCACTCTTGGTTCTATTACTTCTATTGGAATAGGTACCATCAGTGTGAGTTCCAAAATAGTGACCTGGCTTATATTTACACAATCTCCAACGATTATTCAATGAATGCAATGTCATATCCATTCCATGATGATTCAATTCTTGTGGCAAGTGATCCTTCACTCTATTCCATATCACTTGTGTCAACGCATCATCATCAACCATCAATCTATCATTGAATCTATCATTATAAGCATAACAATACGAATCAGCATCTTCATATCCAAGTTTTTCACTCAATTCAATCAATAATTTACATTCCTCCTTCAACAAGACATTTTCTAAAATCAAAACTGGTTTTCCATTCTTTTCAACCTTCTCCAAATGTCTCACATTGATCTTTTCCCTAACAATCTCATCATTCTTTGCCAACAAATCACCAATTGACAATTTTATACTTTTCATTGAATCGGCAATTTTTTCATCAAAGCCATCAGCAACCACCTCCGAGGAGAGAACTTGCTGTGAGAGAAGAGGTGTATACTGAGAGGATTGCCACTTTTGAGACATGAACATTTTTTTTAATTATTAGATATTAATAATTTTCATTTTCAATTTGGAAGTGTTCGCAGTTCTCTCTATTTTTTTTACAATGGAAAGAAAAGTTTTGAACTGGAAATAGATTTTTCAAATAGAATGTATGTTTACAATGAAAATGGTGAAATTTCAATTCTGTTCACCATTTTCATTTTGTAAAGAATATTAAACATTAAAACATAACATTAATTTTCCAAAAGGGATGAATTCAATTGGGTTCGTAAATAACCAAAAAAAAAAGCGCCAAAATCCAATTCTTCAAGTCAATGATGATGAACAGAAATAATTCAATTCTTTCCTACAGTTCGGAATTTCATCATTATTTCGAATCAAGAGTGGGGAGTCTGCTCACTCTCGATCAAACCTTCCCAGCCAAATATTTAGCAAGTGATCAATATTTCGATGATAAGCCAACTCATTCCTTGATTACTTTACAAATAATTCCGAATTTAATTAATAATAGTAATGATGATGACGATGATCTGGTTGGTGATCAAAGAGGAGATGAATTTACCATCATGATGAAGAATCGAGTGGAAAAGTACATTCAAGCAAGTAGGAAATTTAAGAATAACATTCCCTTGATGAAGTGCTTTGAAGAGGTGACTGATGGTGGATCTACATTGACTTTACATTTGTGTTCCTTTCCATTCAATTTGAAAATTCAATCGGAAATGAATAACATGAGGATGATTAAGGAAGTGTTTCATAGGAGAGAAGATTTGATAACTTTGGAAAAGTATTTGGAAAGTAACTATTCACTGGAGAATGATTATGGAATGTTGATTGGAATTTTACAGGGTTTGGCAAAATCTCTATTTGAGTTGCACTTCATTGGTAAATTGAGCCATAATAGTATTATACCAAGGAATGTGGTAATTTCAAGGAAGAATTCAACAGCTCTGATTGGATTGCCATCGTTTGGATTGGATGATGTGGTTGGAACGTTGAATGATGAGCATTTGACCTATTTTTCACCTCAAGTTTTGGAAAGATTTGAAAATGGAGAGAAAACAGTCTTTTCCAATAGTAATGATGTATACATGTTTGGTACATTGATTATTAGGATATTATTGGGCGAGGAGTTTGATGCCAAGTATTTGGACACTGAACGAATGGATGGGGAATTGAAGGATTTGAAATCAAGAATATTGAAACAGCTCACTAATAATATGCCAATGAGGGAAATCTATGAAAATATAGCAGATATGGCATTCAGATGTATTGACAGAAATGAATCTAAACGACCTTCAATAGCTGAAGCGTTTCAACTATTGGAGAAACAAGAACCAATAATCATCCTGCCATCTTCCGAGTCTGCACTTATCTCAAATTCCAGTTCTGAAACCCCAACTTTTACCGTATCCTCACGTTCATTCAATACCTCAAAATTTTCGCTATTTTCTAACCTTTTTGGAGTCAAGAAAAAGGACCGAGTGCCATCTTTAAGAAATGATGTGGTAAATGATGTATGTGATGACATATCAACAATTGAAAGTTTACCAATTATTGTTCAGTGTGAAGAAAAGAAACTAGATGAAGAAGAAACAAAACCAGTGGAGAATCCAGAAGATTTGGATGAGGAAAAGAAGAAACTCTACATTATTGATAAGAGAATTAGTGAGGGAGCTTCTGCTGTTGTGTTCACTCTCAAGAGACCTTCCGAATGTGTCATGAAGAGATACAAGAAAGGTCACGAATCGGATTACAAGAGAGAAATTAGATGCCTACAAAAACGTCATCAGAATATTGTTACCTTAATAGACAATTATTCATTTAAGGAAGGAGAAAATTTTAATCATGTAATTATTATGGAATATTGTGGATATGGAGATTTGTATCGATTGGTATCAAGTAGTGTACAGAAAAGTGCAATCAAACCAATTGTAAGTTTTGTAATGGAAAGTTGTTTAAATGGAAAACAACAACATTTTAAAATAGAAATTCCTAACAATGGGTATTCAATTATTTGAGGCATTGTGTCACCTCCACTCTAACCAATATGTACATTGTGACGTTGTAAGTTTCTTAAACCTTCTTAAACATTCTAATATTCTTTTAAGAAACCTGTAAAGCTTGGCGACTTTGCATTTAGTGTGAGAAATGGAGAAAGTTCACCAGGATTGACGTTCCACTATGCACCTCCTGAGCTTCATGAAGGAAAACCAGCCATCATTGAATGTGATGTTTACAGTGCTGCTTGTTCTCTATTCGAAGTACTTGTAAAGAAGAAGGTTAGTTTGAAAGATAAGGATTTCACACAGGTTTGGGATCAACACAATGCCAATACTAGATTCTATTCCAGGACCATGTCTAATCCTCATGCCATTAGATTGTTCAATCTGATGAAAGAATGCTTGGAGCCTGATGCGAAAAATCGATGCTCTTCAAAGAAGGTCCTTTCTGAAATGATAGATATTCGAAACAATTTTTGTGCAACCCTTATTCAAAAGATATTTAGAGGATTTAGAGTAAGAAAGAGCCTTAAAAGAAGAATGAATTAACCTTCCTCTGTAAATATGCCAACGATTAAAAATTAATTGTAAAACTACAGCTAAAAAGTTTTTTTGATAGAGTATTTTGTGTGACCATTTTTATTAATTTTTTAATACTAGAAAGTGGAATCCCAAAACAGACGAATTACCATTATTTTGGTGGATGAATCCCAAATCAAGTTCTGGACCAAAAACAAGAATTTCACACCACTTAAGGTCCATCTTTTCACGATTACTAATTTAGAAAGCCAACCATATTTCAAAAACTTGCATATTTATTATGAAAGAGAAACAATACTTTGTGAAGTGATAATGTCACGAGTGGAGGGCACGTTATCGTAGCTCTTTGAAACCATTCGTAATATTAACTCAACCAAATCCCTTCTGTGTTGAATGCATTTAGATAGACGTGAGTATAGAGCTTCGTTAATGAGAGTTTCCTCTTCGTTTTGTTCGTAAAGTTGGGAAAGAATCAATTCCTTGTCCCTGCTGCAAATTTGATAGAGTGTAACACCCAAATGATAAACATCCATTATTAATTTCTTGTCATTGAATGAGTTGTATGCCTTTGGTAAGGTGAATCTCTTCTCAGAGTTGGATGCGAAGGATTGTTCTTTCCATCCAAAGTCAGACAATACTACTTCAATCAAGTCGTAATCATCATTGAATGTCTTGATAAAGATATTGTGTGGTCTGATATTACCGTGATGGAGACCCTTATTATCATTCAGGAATTGTATAGCTTGTGTAATTTGTGAAATGACTTGAGCAATCATTTCGTCTGAGAGTTGAACATCTTCTTCGTCCATGAGTGATTGTAAATTACCCATTTCAATGTATTCCATCTCCACGGCAACTGTTTTTTCACCAACAATAGAAGAATCATAAATATGTACAAAAAAGTCTTGATAATTTGGCAGGTGCATAATTCGCTCGAAATGGACATTCAATAATTGTGCTTCTTTAACCGTAGAGCACTGAATTAGTCTCAACACTTTGTATTGGGATTCGTGTGGGTGTTTGATAAGATAGAGGCATGAATTGCCCTTTCTGCTCAGCAATTCAACACTTTCGAATTTTGCAAAGTAATGTTCTTGCACTTCCCAGCATGATTCAAATTCAAGTTTAGACACAAATCTTGGGGATGCAACTCGTGGTTGTTCAGATATCGACTTGGTAAGCAGTGAAGAACCTCTTCTTCTCCTTCCTCCTGCCATTGACATTCTATTCGAAACCATTCTTGCCTCCTCTTCATGTTGCATAATAGTAGCAAAGTTACAATCGAATAATGGATTAAACTGAGTAGTCCATTCCAAATTATTCTCATCATAAATTTCCTCATTGCTACAATAACATGTCGACGACGATAAACTCGACGACGAAGCAACATCTGGTGATAATTCCTTATTGATTATTGGATTGGCTCTCACCGAGTGATGATTAGCAGCAATCTTGACCATCAACTTTTTCATCAAGTTAGTCATTTTCTCTTACTAGTTATTTGTTGTTTATCTACAATATTAATCTTTCAAAGCCTTTTTCTTATATGAACTCCGATGTAGTGTAAGTATCAATACAAAAAATATGAAACTCTAAAAGGTCGTTTTGTTGTGTGTTGTTTTTTTTTCTTCAAATTCTAAGAATGCTAAGCATTTTTCGCTCCTTAAACAGCAAAAGAGCGGCAATGTTGCTGAATGGAAGGATACTCGTCCAGGGCTTGTAGCCGTTCGTGGAGGTTTGCCATCTCACGAGAGAAATCGAGAGCAGGAAAAAATAAAAATATCGAAAGAGTTGGGAAAATGTCAAATGTTTGAAAAGTTTTGTTGCTATTTATAAAGATTGAATGACACATACCTTTGGTGGAGTTGGGGTGAACATTTGAGGAACAGAGTGCATTTGCAGAATTTTTGCTCAAGTAAATAATTGAAGTCAAATGACAAGTGACTGTTATTAATGTTGTAGGTCAATCAATTACGCACATTAAATTATGTATTGAATACTTCAATAATTGATGAGTAAGGATTGTTGTATGCAATTTTCAAGTCTTTTCATTGAGGTTGCAAATTGTTGAATAAACTCCTAAACTATTCGAAACTTTCCAGATTTAAATTTAGATATGCGGTATTACATGCTTTATGTCCTTCTTCCAATAAACAGCTCCGGTGTCTTGGAATCAGAGCTGATATTTTGTGGAGTTAATTCCTGAATGTTTCTAAACAATTCGAACCTGTAGTCGAATTTGATTTATACACAACATGAATTCGAATAACTTTTAAGGTACACAAATTAGTTGAGCCAAAGGAAGGATGAACATGGGTACCCACTTGAACAATGTAACAGAGTTCCATCAAAATTTCCGAAGAAGAGCGAATCAACTAATGTAACCATACTTGGATGATTCAATTATTTGTTTCATTCAATTCGTGTACTAATGAATATTTTTTCAATGTATTGAGGTAGAAAAATAGAGAACTCAATGGCAGATAGAAATTGAATACAAAATGTATTAACAGGATTAATGAGGAATTCTATTCACAATTCATATCAAAGAATATATCTGAAAATGCACTTCTCCTTTCCCTCAAATTGCCAAAGAAATAGTCAAAATCTTTTGTAGAATTAATACGTCTTACGGCCATAAAATATAACTCATCAGAACCAAGCAACACAATAGTGTCATCATTTAGCTCATAAACTACCTTGCCATGAAATGTCGTGTATTGACGTTCTAATTCTTCTGGAATTGTGTAATTGATGAGCATTCTCTCATTCTTATCATATTCATATATCTTGAAGACATCGTTATCACCGTAAAGAATGAGAAAACTTTCACTTGTTAGATAAGGTTTGTTGGCTCCTCTCAAACAAATGCTCCTTGAGTATGAAGAATAACCATTTGTTTTAAGTAATTCAGAAACGGGTGTGCTCCACTCTCTAGTATTGAAATTAAAATCATGTAGGGCTGTTATATAACCAGTTGAATCATATCCACCAAATATTGTAATTCCATTTTCAGATATATAGGTATTAGGAGTAATAACTGTTAAGGTTGGGACTTTATGTGAGTATTTCGGCTGTGTCCATTCTCTAGTTTCCAAATCCAACTCATGGAAATCATTCAAGTACGTTCCACAATACCCTCCATATACATAAAACTTTCCTCTACTCGAATATACAGCCGAACATCCACATCTTTTGCAAGGGTTTCCCTTTGTTACAATATTGGTCCATACTTTAGTTTGCAAATCAAAAGTCCACAAGTCATCCAAATGACCAATCGTATTAACATGTCCTCCATATAAATATATCAATTGATGTTGTTTATCATATGAAATACATGGATATTCTCTAGCACATGGTTGGTCAGCTCCATTCGGAATAATTTCCTTCCAGACCAATCCTTCCTCTACTTTAAATCTTGGATTTGATGGCAATTCCAAAATTACAATCTTATTATTGTGCGATCTTGAATTTGTCTCAGTTCCTTATCAAAATCAAATAGTAAATTATTCAATCACGTGAATGATTTCCAAATCAACATATTAAATATATATTAATATAATCATCGCGATCAAAATTATTACACAATATTATAATTATTATTATTATTACTAATATTAAAATACAAACCTCCAAACATGAACAAGATCGGAGAATGTGTCAATACATTCTCTGATCCCAATAACAATGAATGAAAATTTTCGGTCGGTTGCAAATTGTGTTTATAATGGTGATACCAACGAATGGGTTCTTCGGTGGTGTGAATGTTTGTATTGTTTTCCTTCTTCATTTTTTTTTGATTTTGTAAATTCGGTAATCAATGAACTTGAAACTCTAAATTTGAAGTGAAATTTGGAATTTTGCAATGATGAAGGTATTAATTGTGTTGTGAAAAATGTCTTCCAGAGGGTTAGAAAGACATTTTTCACAACACAATCATTCTGAGGGTTAGAAATTTGTGATACAATGAATGTTGTTCTTCTAATTGACCTCAATATAGAAAAATTCACAGAGATGTCATCATTGATTGAGATTGAGTTACAAGTTCTGAAATTGAATAAAACTCTATAATTCTCAATAAATTATTATTCACAAGAATATTCAAATAGTTCCTTATTCGTATTTTCAACTATCAAGAATTTCCATTTCAGTATTTTCAGCGTTAGGGGAGATAGCAAATGAATCCTCACTTTTTTATATTTTGGCCATGAACATATTTTCAAATTCCAATTAAGGATTCCATCCCGCCAAATTTGAAATTATCAGATGATCTACGAATCCCTTAAATTGGCGCCTCTTTTGGATCACAATGAAAAAAGCAAAACAAAAAAAAACAAGCCAACAACACTGCCCTTTAACAAACTCAATCTTACGTAGTTTTAAGAAACCAAAAACACACACACCAATAATGGTTCTCCACTATTGTTCCCTCAATGAACGAACTCATGAAATTAGTGAGCAACAACAATCGTTTTCACTCCATCCCGAATCATACTTCTCCATGAATGAATATTATTCGGAACGATCCAAGATTAGACACACACTCCACTTTAAACACAATAATCAAGTGCCCTTACCAATAAATTTCATCGACTCGGCAGGAATTGAACACCAGATTACCATAAATTCGAGAGGGGAGAGTTATACGGCCCTATTTCCATGTCATAAGGAAATGGAATGGTACAGTGAGGATAGGCAGGTGACGAAATTGTACTCATCCAATAATTTTGTAATAGTTTCGTTTATTCACATCCCTGGCGGGTTGTATAGAAATCAATGTTTGGGAGTCGAGCTCAGACAATTCCATTGTACAAATGATCAAGTGTATAGTAATGATTTGAAAAGATGGAAAAGTCTTTTTAATAATAAATTCGAGTTGTAAATATCAAGTTGACCAGAACAATGTTAAATGTAAATTTCTAAATTGATTCAAAAAAAAAATGAATGAAAGTAAATCCAAGCCAGTTTCAAAGCTCGGAGATTTCTTGAAGAAACAATTAGAAACTGATCAATTACAATTACAATTGATGAAAATTCTCTATTCGAATTGTTATAAAATTCACATGGAGAAGAAACTCCAGAAGAAAGCTCCACAAAAAAGCAATATAATAATTAAAATGACTGAACAGGAGAGAGGACTAAAAGATTTCTTGGAGATTGTGGACGAATGTACAGAGAATCAAGCTTGGTTTCCGCAACAAACGGTGAGCAAATATTTGGATATTGGTGAGGAAGGTTGGACGATAATGTCTCACTGGATGTTGCCAATATTTAAAGTTTCTAATAGCGGATTGGAACTGGGATGTGAAACTTGTGGGAAATTACAATGTATTTCACAAGCTTTCGAACAATTTTTGACGAAACGAAACGAATTCGAAATGGACAATCAGACAGCTTTGCATCCATTCGAAAAATTCGTGGATATTTGGTCTCAACCTAAATTACGTTCCATGCACAATACAATTTACAAATTGGCAGATCATCCATCTGCAAATGCATTTACGAAAGGTTTCTCCAACTGTACAATGACCTATTTCGTATTTTCTCGTGAATTACAAGGAGCAGATCCAAAGAAACATCAAACTTTGGTTGCTGTTCTAGAAGCTCTCACATTGAATAGTTCAATTTATTCGATTGATGTTTCAAACTTACTTCTCATTCACGATGCTGCAGTTAAGGCACTTTGTAACATGATTAGAAAGAAGAAGAATCTGAAACGAATTGTAATTTCTGATTTGAGTTTGGGGAAATCTTCATATAGTTTGGATATTATTAATGCTGTTTTGGAAGCTCCACTCCTACAAGAAATTTCCATTTATATTTATGAAGAATTGGATAGTAATTTCAGATTTTTGGAAGGGGCTCCTGCAAGTTTAGTTTACAAATTGGGAAATCATCCTTTCAAAAATTTTACATTTTCATTGCTTAATTTCAATTTTCCAATTCAGTCCTTGTCAATTTTAGAAGGAATGCTCAAAAATAGAAATTTGAAATATATAGAATTTAAAGTAGAGAATAATGATGAATATAAGAAATATCAATATATTGACTATGTAAACAAGATGGGTAATTTGATTGGATCAATTGACGAATTTCACTTTCAAACATGTCACATTCCAAATATTTCCCTCAATCAAAATCTGCACTTGCTGAAAAAATGTACAAATCCAAAGAAAAGACAGTATTTTATAGAAAATGACTTGTTGAAGGCCATCATTAATGATGAATTGTATTCAAGTGTTGGTTCAGAATTCAATTTGAACTCTGATTTAATGCGAGAGTTTGGATTTTCACATGTTTCACATTTCTGTAAATTTATAACCAAACTAGAACTTGATTTGAAAACTGATTTGAATGAAAATGAGTGGGAATTGATTTGTAGCGCAGTAATAGAATCTGAAACTTTGGAAGAATTGAGAGTGCGTAATGTGAATGTTTTACAAAAGAATAATCATTCAATTTTTCAAAATTGAAACACAATAATTCAAAACTAACTTGTTTGATTTTACAAAATGCTTACCAACCTGAAATAATTTCAGGCCCAGAATTGATTGCAGATGCAGCCAGAACTTTCCTTAATCATAACCACTTCCCAGAATTTAAAAAGTTTATCATACGAGGAACGGAATTTGAAATCAATTTCAAATGTATGGAAATAATTGTTGAATGTATCAACAAACATCCTTATGGATTGACTAGTTTGGAGCTTGGAGAGAGTTCGATCAAAGATCCAAATTGTACTGACCTATTACTGAAAGCCCTTTCACACAATATGACAATTGAAACAGTGGCTTTGTATGGTGCTGCGTTGAACAATGTTGATATGTTTTCTGATTTTCTTATCACCAACAAGAGTGTGAAAACACTCAAACTTGATTATTCAGGACTCGACGAATATATTCCACAAGATTTGAGCATTGAGGATGATTTTGGAGCAAGCTTATTGAAATTCTTTGGATCTTTACAGTTGAATTGGAGAATTACAGCCATCGATTGGTTTTTAGAATATTATTACAACACTTTCATTTTTGGAAGTGGAAATTATGTGGGTGAAAGATTTCTCGCCCAAAGAATAATGAAAAGGAATAAGAAACAAGTAGAAATTAACAAGTTAATGGATCCAATTAGAAAAAAGATGCAATTCTCGGATGTGAAAATAATTCAGTAATATTTCAAATTAAATTACAATAAATTACAAAGTTTAATGGGAAATGTAAGCAGCAGCTTCAAGGAATTGATCAAAAGAGAAGGTTGCTTGTCCAGTACTTTGCTTATCAAATAATTGGAATGAGTTTCTACAAATTCCAATAAAGATAGTGAAATCAATATATTCAGCAAAGGAGAATGTACCTTGTTTGTCCTTATCAAAATTCTTGAACAATCTGTCAAGAGCAGATGGAGAAACTTGAACTCCTGAATATTGAATTGCTGTCTTGACTTCGTTCAAATCCAAAGTTCCACTTCTATTAGTATCAGTCTTTTCAAAAGCATTCTTCATGTTCATTAAATAATAGTGCAATTGTTCAAATTCATGGAAACCAATTTGACCAGAATTATCACGATCGAACATTTTGATCATCTTTTGAGTAACACTCTTATCAAAGACCATACCACCCTTTGACAAAACAGTTGATAATTCTTCAGCTGAGACTTGTCCGGACTTGTCAAGATCAACAGCATCGAACCAAGCCTTGAGTTGAGGATTTGGTTGAGTTTGTTGAATTGGCATGAATTGATTTTGACCTGGTTGTGGTTGTTGTCCAGTTTGACCTGGTTGTCCATATTGTGGTGGAACTTGACCTGGTTGTCCCACTGGTTGTTGACCAAATTGTGGTGGTTGTTGGCCAAATTGTGGTGGAACTTGACCTGGTTGTCCGAGTTGTGGATTTTGAGGTGGAACAGATGGTTGGCCATATTGTGGGTTTTGACCTGGTTGTGGTTGTTGACCATATTGTGGTGGAACTTGACCTGGTTGTCCGAGCTGTGGATTTTGTGGTGGAACAGATGGTTGTCCAAATTGAGGATTAGTTGATGGAGGAACTTGTCCCATTGGTGGTTGTTGACCTGTTGGTGGAACTTGACCTGGTTGACCATATTGTGGATTTTGTGAAGGAACAGATGGTTGACCATATTGTGGTGGTTGTTGTCCAGTTTGACCAGGTTGAGGTGGTTGTTGACCAAATTGTGGGGAAACTTGACCAGTTTGACCATATTGAGGTGGAACTTGTCCTGGTTGTCCCATTGGTGGTTGTTGTCCGTATTGAGATTGATTCATTGGAGGAACAGATGGTTGACCATATTGTGGATTTTGAGATGGTGGAATTGGTGAGCTACTAACTGGTGGAGTAGTTTGACGAGGAACTTGTCCCATAGGTGGTTGTTGACCATATTGTTGAGGAACAGATGGCTGACCATATTGTGATTGTCCCATTGGAGGTTGTTGGCCGTATGGTGATTGTCCCATCGGTGGTTGTTGTCCATATTGACCATATTGTGATTGTCCCATTGGTGGTTGTTGACCGTATGGATGTTGTGGTTGGCCGTATGGAAGTTGTTGACCATATTGACCTCCGTATGGCGGTTGTTGTTGTTGACCATATTGACCGTATGGTTGTTGTGAAGAAGGAGGTTGTTGACCGTAGCCTTGAACTTGTGGTGGATGTTGACCGTATGGAGGTTGACTCATTTTTTATTATTTTTATATTTGATGATCAAAAATGAACGCTCCCACACAACATTTTGTAAATGGGTTACACCACCAACTTGGTGACAAATCAAAATATTGACATCCAATAGAGAGATGAATACCTCACGTTGTCAACAATCGTGTGTTTAAATATTTATTAGATTTCTTTTGAGGAGTAATAATTGTGGAGGAGAGGTTGTAACATTTTTCGAGAGGAGGCCATGTTGTGCTGTACAAAGTATTTGGTGTTTTCGGAATCTTGTTCTGCTTTCCAGTGGGTGAGGTTCAATTCTGATGAACATTGATGAACCAGATGATTCACAGAATTGCTCAATAACTTTTGATTAGGTGTGTATATTACAAGTTGTCTCTTGAATTGATTTTCCTCATCACTGTAGGCACACATCACATAGAG